TTACAATCCTGAGACAAGGCCGAGTATAGCCCACAGAGGTCTCCACCACAGCACAAACCAAGGGGGGGCGCCAACCCAGACAGGAAGATCACGTCAGTAACTCAACCCACTCAAGTGACGCACCCCTCCCAGGGACGGCATGAAAGAGCACCAGCAAGCCAGTGACTCAGCCCCTGCAACAGGGTTAGAGGCAGAGAACCCCAGTGGAGAGGGGAACCGGCCTGGCAGAGACAGCAAGGGCTGTTCGTTGCTCCAGAGCCTTTCCGTTCACCTTCACACTCCTGGGCCAGACTACACTCAATCATATGACCTACTGAAGAGATAAGTCTTCAGTAAAGACTTAAAGTTTGAGACCGAGTCTGCGTCTCTCACATGGGTAGGCAGACTGTTCCATAAAAATGGAGATCTATAGGAGAAAGCCCTGCCTCCCGCTGTTTGCTTAGAAATTCTAGGGACAATTAGGAGGCCTGCGTCTTGTGACCGTAGCGTACGTATTGGTATGTACGGCAGGACCAACTCGGAAAGATAGGTAGGAGCAAGCCCATGTAACGCTTTATAGGTTAACAGTAAAACCTTGAAATCAGCCCTTGCCTTAACAGGAAGCCAGTGTAGGGAAGCTAGCACTGGAGTAATATGATCAAATTTCTTGGTTCTAGTCAGGATTCTAGCAGCCGTATTTAGCACTAACTGAAGTTTATTTAGTGCTTTATCCGGGTAGCCGGAAAATAGAGCATTGCAGTAGTCTAACCTAGAAGTAACAAATGCATGGATTAATTTTTCTGCATCATTTTTGGACAGAAAATTTCTGATTTTTGCAATGTTACGTAGATGGAAAAAAGCTGTCCTTGAAACAGTCTTGATATGTTCGTCAAAAGAGAGATCAGGGTCAAGAGTAACGCCGAGGTCCTTCACAGTTTTATTTGAGACGACTTTACAACCATCAAGATGAATTGTCAGATTTAACAGAAGATCTCTTTGTTTCTTGGGACCTAGAACAAGCATCTCTGTTTTGTCCGAGTTTAAAAGTAAAAAGTTTTCAGCCATCCACTTCCTTATGTCTGAAACACAGGCTTCTAGCGAGGGCAATTTTGGGGCTTCACCATGTTTCATTGAAATGTACAGCTGTGTGTCATCCGCATAGCAGTGAAAGTTAACATTATGTTTTCGAATAACATCCCCAAGAGGTAAAATATATAGTGAAAACAATAGTGGTCCTAAAACGGAACCTTGAGGAACACCGAAATGTACAGTTGATTTGTCGGAGGACAGACCATTCACAGAGACAAACTGATATCTTTCCGACAGGTAAGATCTAAACCAGGCCAGAACTTGTCCGTGTAGACCAATTTGGGTTTCCAGTCTCTCCAAAAGAATGTGGTGATCGATGGTGTCAAAGGCAGCACTAAGGTCTAGTAGCACGAGGACAGATGCAGAGCCTCGGTCTGACGCCATTAAAAGGTCATTTACCACCTTCACAAGTGCAGTCTCAGTGCTATGATGGGGTCTAAAACAGACTGAAGCATTTCGTATACATTGTTTGTCTTCAGAAAGGCAGTGAGTTGCTGCACAAACGTAGATCCTTCAAACACCCCCAAACAGGGAAACAGATGCCAATCAAAGGTGTTATCACGTGCTCCACTAAGGCAGTTATTTATCTTATAACTTGTCCTTGTGGTAAAAATTATGTGGGTAAAACAAAGCGTGAATTAAAAGTACAGATCTCGGAGCATCGTAGCACCATTAGGTGCCAAAACTCGACATACCCAGTCGCTGCCCACTTTTTGGAATCGAACCACTCGATTTCTTCCCTACGTTATATCGGCATCGAACATGTCACCCTCCCTAGGAGAGGGGATGACCTTGACAATTTATTGTTAAAACGAGAGGCCGTCTGGATCTTTAATTTAAAGACCCTTGCTCCCTTCAGTCTCAATGTAGACTTTGATCTGAAGCCATTCTTGTGATTATTGTGATTTTGGTATTCATTGTAAATGTTTGTGGGCCTATGTAGCCAAGTTGTATCTATGATCATATGCTATCTATTCATGTTTTTTGTATGTTCTGTTTATATCTGTAAATTAACCAATGATATCAAGCCACACCTGGCCATGATTACAGACACCTGTGTGTGTCCTTTGACAATATATAAACTAGTGACCCACAGTGTTTGTCATTATACCCTGATGAAGACAGCTTGTCTGTCCAAACGTCAGTTATCAGGTTATTCAATTATTGCATCTGAGCTCCTAGAGTGAGTCTCTCTTTTTGTTTCTATATCAGACCGTATACCACGGGTATGACAAAACATTTATTTTTATTGGTCTAATTACCTTGGTAACCGGTTTATAATAGCAATAAGGCACCTCGGGGGTTTGTGGTATATGGCCAATATACCACGGCTAAGGGCCGTATCCAGGCACTCCACAACCTCAGGCCTTATGGTTATAGAGGGACAGTAGAGACAGTCAGCTACCTACCTACCACACCTCCTTATGGTTATAGAGGGACAGTAGAGACAGTCAGCTACCTACCTACCACACCTCCTTATTGTTATAGAGGGACAGTAGAGACAGTCAGCTACCTACCTACCACACCTCCTTATTGTTATAGAGGGACAGTAGAGACAGTCAGCTACCTACCTACCACACCTCCTTATGGTTATAGAGGGACAGTAGAGACAGTCAGCTACCTACCTACCACACCTCCTTATTGTTATAGAGGGACAGTAGAGACAGTCAGCTACCTACCTACCACACCTCCTTATTGTTATAGAGGGACAGTAGAGACAGTCAGCTACCTACCTACCACACCTCCTTATTGTTATAGAGGGACAGTAGAGACAGTCAGCTACCTACCTACCACACCTCCTTCAGAATATACCCCTCTATATAGCCTTCCATATACCCCTCAGAATACCCCTCTATATAGCCTTCCATATACCCCTCTATATAACCTTCCATATACCCCTCAGAATACCCCTCTATATAGCCTTCCATATACCCCTCTATATACCCTTCCATATACCCCTCAGAATACCCCTCTATATAGCCTTCCATATACCCCTCTATATACCCTTCCATATACCCCTCAGAATACCCCTCTATATAGCCTTCCATATACCCCTCAGAATACCCCTCTATATAGCCTTCCATATACCCCTCAGAATACCCCACTATATACCCTTCCATATACCCCTCAGAATACCCAACTATATAGCCTTCCATATACCCCTCAGAATACCCCACTATATAGCCTTCCATATACCCCTCAGAATACCCCACTATATAGCCTTCCATATACCCCTCAGAATACCCCTCAGAATACCCCACTATATACCCTTCCATATACCCCTCAGAATACCCCACTATATAGCCTTCCATATACCCCTCAGAATACCCCTCTATATAGCCTTCCATATACCCCTCAGAATACCCCTCAGAATACCCCACTATATACCCTTCCATATACCCCTCAGAATACCCAACTATATACCCCTCTGGAGAGGCATAATAAGTCATTTCAAACTGTGTAGAATTGCAGGAAACAGGTTTTAAAATGTCCCCCCAGTCCCCTGTGTACTGTTCGTGCCACCCCCCCAATATCTTCACCACAACTTCGCCCTTGAATCAATGTATTTATTGCCCACTACAAGATGAGTTAACACACAGATGTTGTTGCAGGTGAGTAGATAGATGTGGTCACATAGCAGTGTAATATTCACCATTCCATAACACGAGGACAGGTGGATCTCATTCAGGTACAGGGTTGGGGTCAATTCCATTTCAATTCAATCAATTCTAGAAGTAAACTGAAATTCACATTCCAATTTTCCTCAATGATTCTATTTTCAGTCTACTTCCTGAATTGACTGAATTGAAAATGGAATTGACGCCAAGCCTTTTCAGGTAACAACAGTGCAACAAGTTGACACCACATATAACATTAAGAACCCAACTCAATATGGTTCTCAGCAAAACAAAACTAAGAAAAACACAGTAAGATCTAATAAATGCATATGTTAAACTGATTATCGCTTAATAAAGAGTGCTTCTCAAATGCCACCCCATTCCCTATGTAGTGCACTACTGTTGACTAAGGCCCTATGTAGTGCACTACTGTTGACTAAGGTCCTATGTAGTGCACTACTGTTGACTAAGGTCCTATGTAGTGCACTACTGTTGACTAAGGCCCTATGGGCCCTGGTCAAAGAGAGTCCACTGTGTAGGGAATAGGGTGGCATTTGAGACGAACCCACAGACTACCTCTGAAAAAAACAAAAACAATTTAAGGATCACAGATTAAGACTGGGATGATTTAAATAGGATTTAGAGCGATTCAGTAACTCTCCATGAATGATGAGATTTGGATATGAAATGTTAGCGCCAAAGGTTTGATGATACTAGATGGTATACTAGGATTAGATCATCCAAATCCCTAACCCAGCGCACACCTCTATAACACTGAAGCTGCACATTCACCTGAATTCATTACGATATACAGTTAACCGCCAGAATAAAGGCAACGCCAACATACAGTGTCTTAACAGGGCGTTGGGCCACCAGCAGCCAGAACGGCTTCAGTGCACCTCGGCGTAGATTCTAGAAGAGTCTGGAACTCTATTGGAGGGATGCGACACCATTTTCCCACGAGAAATACGTACATTTTGGTGGGGAGGTGGAGGGTGGGGAGGTGGAGGGGTGCAGGGTGGGGAGGTGGAGGGGTGGGGAGGTGGGGAGGTGCAGGGTGGGGAGGTGGAGGGGTGCAGGGTGGGGGTCAGTTCAGTTAATTCAGATTTTGTCTGTTGTTTTGTGTGACCTGGCCACGCCCCTGGTGTGTGTAGATGTGACCTGGCCACGCCCCTGGTGTGTAGATGTGACCTGGCCACGCCCCTGGTGTGTGTAGATGTGACCTGGCCACGCCCCTGGTGTGTGTAGATGTGACCTGGCCACGCCCTGGTGTGTAGATGTGACCTGGCCACGCCCCTGGTGTGTGTAGATGTGACCTGGCCACGCCCCTGGTGTGTAGATGTGACCTGGCCACGCCCCTGGTGTGTAGATGTGACCTGGCCACGCCCCTGGTGTGTAGATGTGTGAAGAGCTAGCTAAGGAGGTCGGGATGCAGGCCGATCCTCTCCAACACGTCCTCAGGCATACAGAGAACAGGATTAACGTCCTTTATCTGGCCCTCTCCCAGGAGAGACAGACCTGCTACTCCAAACAGAGTATGGAATGGGTCCACCTGGAGAAGGAGCGAGAGGAGAGCGCGGGTGAGGACAGAAACATGAACCTACCTAGCTCAAATCTAGCCATTAGCACTGGGAGCTAACATGAGTCTCCAGGTGTCAGACAAGGTTTAAACATAATAATAAAATAATATGCCATTTAGCAGACACTTTTATCCAAAGCGACTTACAGTCATGTGTGCATACATTTTTTTTTTTTGTGTATGGGTGGTCCCGGGGATCGAACCCACTACCTTGGCGTTACAAGTGCCGTGCTCTACCAGCTGAGCTACAGAGGACCAAACATCATGTGAGCGTAGCCCCCCCCCTTCCTACCTGCTAACCCAACCCCCCTCCTACGTGCTAAAACCCCCCACCACACACCCCTTTCTACATCCTGTTACACCCCCCACTTCCTCCCTGCTACACCCCCCCTCCTACCTGCTGTATCCTGTTACACCCCCCCACTTCCTCCCTGCCACACCCCCCTTTCTACATCCTGCTACACCCCCCCTTCCTACCTTCTATATCCTGTTACACAACAAACAACCCCCCTTCCTACCTGCTACATCCTGTTACACCCCCCTTCCTACCTGCTACATCCTGTTACACACCACCCCCCTTCCTACCTTCTACATCCTGTTACACCCCCCTTCCTACCTGCTACATCCTGTTACAACACACCCCCCTTCCTACCTGTTACATCCTGTTACAATACAACCCCCCTTCCTACCTGCTACAATCCTGTTACAACTCCCCCTTCCTACCTGCTACATCCTGTTAAAAAAAACCCCCTTCCTACCTGCTACATCCTGTTACACCCCCCTTCCTACCTGCTACATCCTGTTACAACAACAACAACCCCCCTCCCCCCCTTCCTACCCCGCTACATCCTGTTACCAAACATCACCCCCCTTCCTACCTGCTACATCCTGTTACAACCACCCCCCTCCCCCCCCCTTTCCCACCTGCTATCCTGTTACAACCCCCCTTCCTACCTGCTACATCCTGTTACAAAAAACCCCCCCTTCCTACCTGCTACATCCTGTTACACCCCCCTTCCTACCTGCTACATCCTGTTACACCCCCCTTCCTACCTGCTACATCCTGGGTTCTGGGTTAACCGAGACGATGATGATGATGATGATATTATGATCTCACCATGTCTCCTGGTCGGTCAGCGAAGCCCCCTGTCTCCTCATCCTGACAGGCCAAAATAAAGGACCTCAGCTTGGACTTGTCTATCCAGTGGATCCTACCAATGATCTTCAGGGAGGCCAGCACCCACCACGAGTAACATACATCAGGCAGCTAGCCGAGGGAGGAGGGGACAATGAGACCAGCAATGAGGGTAGGGAATCTAGAAGTATGTTTCACCACACTGAACTTCTGTCAATAAGCTAGAGGCCTTGTGCTGAATCCCAAATGCACAGAATTAAATAGAACAGTGAATATATATGATATTAATGACCAAATCAACCCCAAGCCCCTACTTTCTCAGGGCGTCCGTTCAGACCTCCTGAGGGAAGCTGTCTCTCACAGAGCCACCAGCCCAGCAGGTCGGCATTCACCTGGTGTAACTGGCCTGTTATAGACAGGAACCCTGTACAACAGTAGATCTACGAGGGGAGGGGAGAAGAAAAGAAGAAAAGAAATGCCATTTAGCAGACGCTTTTATCCAAAGAGACTTACAGTCATGTGTGCATACATTTTTACGTATGGGTGGTCCGCCGGTGATCAGACCACTACCCTGGCGTTACACAAGGCGGGCCGTGCTCTACTGAATTGAGCTATTACAAGAGACTTACACTGTGAATTAGAGGGAGGCAGGAGATGAAAGGAGATAGAGCCGTGAAGTAGTCAGAGGACAGAAGAGAGAGATGAGAGAGAAGAGATAGGAGTGAGGAGAGAGAAGCGAGGTAGAGATGTCAGATGAAGGAGGCAGATAGTAGTGAGAGAGGGCAAGCGAGACTTAGGTTAGCGTGCATATGGCATGGAGCTACGACGTCTTTCGAGCTCTCGCGCCAGGTTCGCTTCGATGCTTTCCACCTCGCGGTTCTCTATTCGTAGGCTCTCCTGGCATTACGTCGTGCTATCTCGTGCTTCTCATTTTCTCTTCCTCCTCTGGCCCTTCGTTACTTCTAGCTTCTGAGCTCTGCCTCTACCTCTCTTCTTCTCCGTCTTCTCGGGTTCTCGCTCTCTTCTCTGCAACTCTCGTGTTCTCTACTTCTCTGCTTTCTTTCTCTCACTCTCTCTTTTGTCTACGCCATGTTTCTTCCGTTAGCATCGTTTGCTATCGTCTGTCTCTCATCCTTGCCCTCTCCTAGTTACCCTACTTTGCAGTTCTAGCTCAGAATAAATGAAATTATGGAACAATGGCTCAAATAGATTTTCTAAAAATTCATGACAGTAGCCATCGAAAACTCAATAGCTTAATACCTGGTCCCAGCATGGAGACTCTGATCCTGGTCTGCAGCCAAACCCGCCATCAAAGTTCATACAGGACAGAACAAACTCTACAGCTTTGTCCATGTTGATGGCATCCAACTTACCCTGCAGACACACAGACCAAACAACATGTTGGTCAAACTGTTAACTACTGTTGTATACAAACTAATGATACATAGCACTGTACAGAACAACATGTTGGTCAAACTGTTAACCACTAGAAGTGGCGCCGGAGAAGATTGCTGCCGTTTTACAGCCCTCTAACCAATTGTACTATTATGTGTGTTTTTTCGCGTTATTTGTCATTTATTTTGTACATAATGTTTCTGCCACCGTCTCTTATAACCAAAAAGAGCTTCTGGATATCAGGACAGCGATTACTCACCTCGTTTTGGACTAATATTTTTTCTTCAATGAGTCGGACGCGAAGGATATCCTACAGACACCCGACAAGGCCCAAATCCCTGTCATTCGCAGGAGAAAGAGACGGAGATATCGTGGACGTAGGTCGGGGTGCCTTGTAAGGATCCGACTGCGAGCGAGTAAACTGCCTCTTCCATCAACCCTATTAGCCAATCTTCAATCATTTGAAAATAAATTAGATGACTTAAGATTACGGTTATCCTACCAACAGAACATTAAAAACTGTAATATCTTATGTTTCACCGAGTCGTGGCTGAACGACGACAATGATAACGTTCAGCTAGCAGGCTATACGCTACATCGGCAGGACAGAACGGCTGACTCCGGTAAGACAAGGGGCGGGGGTCTGTGTATATTTGTAAACAACAGCTGGTGCACAAAATCAAATACTAAGGAAGTCTCGAGGTTTTGCTCGCCTGAGGTAGAGTATCTTATGATAAGCTGTCGACCACACTATCTACCAAGAGAGTTTTCATCTATATTTTTCATAGCTGTCTATTTACCACCACAAACCGATACTGGAACTAAGATTGCACTCAATGAGCTGTATAAGGCCATACGTAAACAGGAAAACGCTCATCCAGATGCAGCGCTCCTAGTGGCCGAGGACTTTAATGCAGGGAAACTTAAATCCGTTCTACCTCATTTCTACCAGCATGTTAAATGTGCAACCAGAGGAAAAATAACTCTAGACCACCTTTACTCCACACACAGAGACGCATACAAAGCTCTCCCTCGCCCTCCATTTGGCAAATCTGACCAAAACTCTATCCTTCTGATAAGCAAAAACTAAAGCAGGAAGCACCAGTGACTCGGTTAATAAAAAAAGTGGTCAGATGAAGCAGATGCTAAGCTACAGGACTGTTTTGCTAACACAGACTGGAACATGTTCCAGGATTCTTCAGATAGCATTGAGGAGTACACCACATCAGTCACTGGCTTCATCAATAAGTGCATCGATGACGTCGTCCCCACAGTGACCGTACGTACATACCCCAACCAGAAGCCATGGATTACAGGCAACATCCGCACTGAGCTAAAGGGTAGAGCTGCCGGTTTCAAGGAGCGGGACTCTAACCCGGACGCTTATAAGAAATCCCGCTATGCCCTCCGACAAACAGGCAAAGCGTCAATACAGGACTAAGATTGAATCGTACTACACCGGCTCTGACGCTCGTCGGATGTGGCAGGGCTTGAAAACTATTACAGACTACAAAGGGAAGCACAGCCGCGAGTTGCCCAGTGACACAAGCCTACCAGACGAGCTAAACCACTTCTATGCTCGCTTCGAGGCAAGCAACACTGACACATGCATGAGAGCACCAGCTGTTCCGGATGACTATGTGATCATGCTCTCCGTAGCCGATGTGAGTAAGACTTTTAAGCAGGTCAACATTCACAAGGCCGCAGGGCCAGACGGATTACCAGGACGTGTACTCCGAGCATGTGCTGACCAACTGGCAAGTGTCTTCACTGACATTTTCAACCTGTCCCTGACTGAGTCTGTAATACCAACATGTTTCAAGCAGACCACCATAGTCCCTGTGCCCAAGGACACTAAGATAACCTGCCTAAATGAGTACCGACCCGTAGCACTGACGTCTGTAGCCATGAAGTGCTTTGAAAGGCTGGTCATGGCTCACATCAACACCATTATCCCATTATCCCAGAAACCCTAGACCCACTCCAATTTGCATACCGCCCCAAAAGATCCACAGATGATGCACTCTCTATTGCACTCCACACTGCCCTTTCCCACCTGGACAAGAGGAACACCTACGTGAGAATGCTATTCATTGACTACAGCTCAGCGTTCAACACCATAGTGCCCTCAAAGCTCATCACTAAGCTAAGGATCCTGGGACTAAACACCTCCCTTTGCAACTGGATCCTGGACTTCCTGACGGGCCGCCCCCAGGTGGTAAGGGTAGGTAACAACACATCTGCCACGCTGATCCTCAACACAGGGGCCCCTCAGGGGTGCGTGCTCAGTCCCCTCATGTACTCCCTGTTCACCCTATGACTGCATGGCCAGGCACGACTCCAACACCATCATTAAGTTTGCTGACGACACAACATTGGTAGGCCTGATCACCGACAAAGATGAGACAGCCTATAGGGAGGAGGTCAGAGACCTGGCCGTGTGGTGCCAGGACAACAACCTCTCCCTCAACGTGACCAAGACAAAGGAGATGATTGTGGACTACAGGGAAAAAATGAGGACTGAGCACGCCCCCATTCTCATCGACAGGGCTGTAGTGGAACAGGTTGAGAGCTTCAAGTTCCTTGGTGTCCACATCACCAACGAACTATCATGGTCCAAACACACCAAGACAGTCGTGAAGAGGGCACGACAAAGCCTATTCCCCCTCAGGAGACTGAAAAAATTTGGCGTGGGTCCTCAGATCCTCAAAAAGTTATACACAACCCCACAACCATCGAGAGCATCCTGACTGGTTGCATCACCGCCTGGTATGGCAACTGCTTGGCCTCTGACCGCAAGGCACTACAGAGGGTAGTGCGTACGGCCCAGTACATCACTGGGGTCAAGCTTCCTGCCATCCAGGACCTCTATACCAGGCGGTGTCAGATGAAGGCCCTCAAAATTGTCAAAGACTCCAGCCACCCTAGTCATAGACTGTTCTCTCTGCTACCGCACGGCAAGCGGTACCGGAGCGCCAAGTCTAGGTCCAAAAGGCTTCTCAACAGCTTCTACCCCCAAGCCATAAGAATCCTGAACAGCTAATCATGGCTACCCAGACTATTTGCACTGCCCCCCCACCCCATCCTTTTTACGCTGCTGCTACTCTGTTAATTATTTATGCATAGTCACTTTAACTCTACCCACATGCCCCGGTGCCCCCGGACATTGACTCTGCACCGGTACCGCCCTGTATATATAGCCTCCCTACTGTTATTTTATTTTACTTCTGCTCTTTTTTTCTCAACACTTTTTTGTTGTTGTTATTGTTTTTATTTTACTTTTTAAATAAATGCATTGTTGGTTAAGGGCTGTAAGTAAGCATTTAACGGTAATGTCTACACCTGTTGTATTCGGCGCACGTGGCAAATACAATTTGATTTGATACAAACTAATGATACATAGTACTGTACAGAACAACATGTTGGTCAAACAGTTAACTACTGTTGTATACAAACTAAGCACTTGTTGCAATGTACTGTAACGTTACATACAGGAAAGAAACAACAATATGCAATGTGCTGTACATACAGGAAAGAAACAACAATTGTCTTTGTTTCTCTCTGGCTGGACCATCGATACCACCCCCCTCCCCTCCCCCCTCCCTCCCTCCCTCCCTCCTTCCCTCCCCCCTCCCTCCCTCCCTCCCTTCCCTCCCTCCCTCCCCCTCCCTCTCCCTCCCTCCCCCTCTACACTCCTTTCCAATCTATCTCTCAGCCTTTCATCCAAAGACAAATAGAGACATGCAATCTCCATCTCTACCATCTAATTTTCAATTTGATGTTTGTTTTTCTTTTTATGCGCTTTGAGATAATTTTCTGTAACAAAAAGCGCTATACAAGTTAAATAAATTATAATAATAATAATAATAATAATAATAATAATAATAATACAGGGAAAAAACAACAATATGCATTGCATTCTGGTGTAAAAGTAAACAATATAAATCTGTTAGCTAGTAACCAAAGACAATATGACAGATTTTAATTTGAGCCGTACCAGCAATGCGAGTGTTGCTACAGCACAGAAAGAGAATCGTGTGTCTATCTCCCCTGTAGAGACAGTAGATGAAGACAGAAGGGTTAGGTTAAAGGCAGACTCAGCAATATGGCATCATGATACACAGTGGGGTGACTTCCTGCCAGTGGGGTGACTTCCTGCCAGTGGGGTGACTTCCTGCCAGTGGGGTGACTTCCTGCTTACAGACATCAGCAACAACAACAGACTCTGCCAGGACCACCACTTTCATCTCTTTTTTTGTGACCAACTTTTTGTCAGGTACAAAAACAATAAAAGAAATGCATACAAAGATAACCCCAACCCATCCCCCCCTTCATGCCCCATCCTCCCTCCCCACCCAGAAACCATGCCTCCCAGCCTGCCTGCCAGCAATAACCGTCACTGATTGATTGAGAGATTCAAGGGGATGTCCTCGTTAAGTAACATAATAGATGCAAATCATTGAATATTTACATTCATGCACTTCAAACTGAACGTTGTAACTTTGTCCCAGAAGCATTGAACTGCAGGCCACTCGTTTTACATTTACATTTTAGTCATTTAGCAGACGCTCTTATCCAGAGCGACTTACAGTTAGTGAATACATTTATTTATTTTTTTATTATACTGGCCCCCCGTGGGAATCAAACCCACAACCCTGGCGTTGCAAACGCCATGCTCTACCAACTGAGCTACATCCCTGCCGGCCATTCCCTCCCCTACCCTGGACGACGCTGGGCCAATTGTGCGCCGCCCATGAGTCTCCCGGTCGCGGCCGGCTACGACAGAGCCTGGATTCGAACCAGGATCTCTAGTGGCACAGTTAGCACTGCGATGCAGTGCCTAAGACCACTGCGCCACTCAGGAGGAATGAGGAGGAATGTGCCCACCTGATTTAGGGGACACAGTGAACGGTTGGGAGTTGGGGCCAATTTCATCGTAAACCGTTTCCTTGGTGTTAAATACTGTCTGTGAATAAACGTAACATGTATAAATTGATGGTTCAGATTACAGGATGCCAAGGTAATATTGTCCCATATTCTGTTCCAGTTAAAAGGTTGTTGAGAATCAATTAGATCTATGGACAATACTTTAATGTCTAGCTCAGAATATGAGCTTTCCAAAAGTTGTTTACATATTATAGAGATCAGTCCTGTTGGGAGCCCAGATAATGTATTTATAAATCCCATCATTGGATGTTTCGGTAGTTGGGTTTCCCAAGGGACTGACCTAAGCTGTAAATATAGAAAAATGGATTTTATCCCAATATTCAGAAGGGGAGCCATGGGAAGCATTGAACTACAGAAATTCAGCTGTGCATTCGAAAAGTATTCAGACCCCTTGACTTTTTCCACATTTTGTTACGTTACAGCCTTATTCTAAAATTGATTAAATTGTTTTTTTAGCTCCTCAAATCTACACACAATACCCAATGATGACAAAGCAAAAACTGGTGTTTAGAAATCTTTGCAAATATTTTTTTTTAAATCTACGCCAATATCACATTTACATAAGTATTCAGACCCTTTACTCAGTACTTTGTTGAAGCACCTTTGGCAGCGATTACAACCTCGAGACTTCTTGGGTGTGACGCTACAAGCTTGGCACACCTGTATTTGGGGAGTTTCTCCCATGATTTGGACAGGTGTGTGCCTTTCCAAATCATGTCCAATCAATTAAATTTACCTCAGGTGGACTACAATAAAGTTGTAGAAACATCTCAAGGATGACCAATGGAAACAGGATGCACCTGAGCTGAATTTCGAATATCATAGCAAAGGGTTTGAAAACTAATTTAATTGAGGTATTTCTGTTTTTTATTTATTTTTATTTGCAAATACTTTCCGAATGCACTGTTTTCATTTTGACAGTAGATATTCTGCCGGTTAAAGTAACTGGGATGTTATTCCATCTACTGAGGTTGGATTTAATTGTTTTGAGCGTTCTGTTAAAGTTTCTGGCAACGGTTTTATCTAAGGAAGGAAATATATCTACTCCCAAATATTTATAATGGGAAACGACTGGGATTCCATAAGTAGAGATAGAGTCCTCCATCGGGGTCTTGAGAGACAGTAGGGCTGATTTGATTAGATACATTTTACAACTTGAGATTAAGCTGAATTTATCTATGATCTTCAATGCATCACACCACTATCATCTCTTGATCTTGTGCAGAAACCCAGACATAAAGTAAACTCACCCCATTTGTCTCCAGCGAATGACCCATCGTCCTGCTGCAGTCCTCTGATGTACTCCACTACCTTGTCCACATCCAGCATATTCACACCATCATACAATGACAGGATCTGAGGGAGACAGACAACATGGCTTGTAGTTTATATGTCTGTAAGGTTATGCCCAGGGTTGTGTTTTCTAGGCATGATATCGAGTGTTACTTTCTGAACTTGTTCCAAAGACAAAATGTTATGTTATGTATCCAGCTGCCTGACCTGCACTGTGCTGAGTGTATAGAACAGGTGCAGGTGGTGTTATGTAATGTCTCACCTTTACAGTGCTGAACTACAGGTGTGGGTGGTGTCCAATGCTGGCGCTGATGTTATTGTTAATTTAAGTAATGTCATATTATACCTGTACAGCACTGAGCGTGTAGAGGATGTGTGGGTCGTGTCCGACGCTGGCGCTGATCCCTCCACAGTCGTGCTGACAGGACTTGATGAAATCAGAGATCTCCTGTTGGTTCATCCTGGTCAGCTGACCCATCAAGTCCATCACCGTCAGGCCCCAGTAGATACCTGACATCCGCAGGTACTCTGACAGGGTGTACTCCTGTGGTGGGATGACAGAGGATATCAATGACTGTCTGAGACACAGTTAACTAGTAGATAGCTACATCCACTTCTGGCAGAGGGGTGATACAGGGAATCAATCAATAAATGAAACAGGTTCACTGACAACGTGAAAAATCTGTCGATGTGCCCTTGAGCAAGGCACTTAACCCTAATTGCTCCTGTAAATCGCTCTGGATTACAGCGTCTGCTAAATGACTAAAATGTAAAATGTAAATGAACGACAGATGAACCACACAGATAGCTAGCTACATCCACCTAGTAAGAGCAGGGTTTCTCAAACATGTCTTGGAGAGGTGCAGGGTTTTTTGTTTTCAATGCTTTCCATGACTGGTCTAATCAAAGACATCCTTGTTCTCCTACCACAGACGGGAGTCAGTGAAATTATGTCTGCATAACATCCAGTACTCACATAGTCATCCTTCTTGGAGCCGTAGGCAGCAATGTAGTCTGCATGCTTGTCCAACAGTAGAGCATTGGGGGCATCAGACTTGATCACTACATCTTTCACTTGGGTCCCCTACAATAACAATGGGAGAAATGTTGCTAACTGTTATTTCATAGTCAGATACAAGACGAGGAATACAGATACAGCTAGCTAGCCTAGTAAACTGACTATGTAGCTAGCTAGCAACTACCAGTGGGGCAAATTATACATTGAGTGCTGCTCAGAATAACACATTCAGATTGAGAAGATAACATTCGTTTATTTATTCTCTAGTAAGAGCCGTTGGATAGAGATTAGCAGCTGCTACAACATAGTTGATTTTCTAGCGGGCCATTTCCTCTGCTCTGGATAAAAACAATGACAGTGCTACCAGTTACAGTTAGCTAGTTAGCCATCATTTTGCTATGACTTGGGTTTCTTTCATCGACAGGGAATATATTTATCCCTCTATAAGTACAAGCAGATAATACAAAACAAACTAAATCAGTTGTGTCTAATTTATGGAAAATTACAGCAAGAAGAATAGTAATTTTTAATCATCATTAAAGTTACCATCCTTGATATCTTCGTATCATCTGCCGGCGCTGAATTGTTGCGTCATGAAACGTCTACGTCACCAACGCGACAGACAGGGCGGGGCGTAACCGTTTTCCACTAACTTCCATAGCAACAAAATCAAAATTGGCGATAGAAAATTCTGTTTTTGGTCTTAAAGGTTAGGGTTAGGCATTATATTAGCAGTGTGGTTAAGGTTGAGGTAAAATCTAAATTTAATAAGATAAATTGTAGAAATGGGGGGGGGGGCTTTTGCTGTGCTGTCAAACGTGTTTCTTTGAGTAAATAGGTGTAACGCTGGGTGAAAATAAACTGGTGAAAACATTTTACCAAACAGGACTTTCCAAAACACAACAGATAAGATATTTATTCTAAGACTCCTTTCTGTGTTTGCAAACATTGCCGTACGAGGGCGATGCGCGCCAGCAAAAAAAGCCTATTTTTACATGTTGTTTCTGAGTGCATTTCACACTAATTTTTGGATTATAATTGGATTTTAAGGTTCGTATGAATGCCCTGCTTAATATAATGTTTATGTCATCGCAAATCAACTGCATTATACTTTTTTTTTTTTTTATACACTTCAAGCAGTTAAATGGCTCTTTGGCTAGCTTTTGCTACAGTCTATATCAATGAGCGTTAGCATTCTAGCTAACTGCTGCATCCAAAAGTTATTTTGCAAAGATCATAACCAAATATAATCTTTGCTGCTGTTCAAGCAAGAATCAAAAACATCCTTGTAAGCGTACGAGAACCCCAAAAAGTGATTTTGTTTTAGAATAAATAAAAACGTAAATCTAGGCTGTTGAATGAGTGCAGATGCGATAGCTTTCTTTCTGCCACAAAGAGTCGTTCGCATGTGTGTGACGTCAGTGTGTGGTGTCCTGGAAAGGGGTCTATACGATACTTAATTTACCTTCTCATACACAATGACAGTAAAGTAATAATTACAAGTAATTCGATATACATCGTTTATTACATTTCAACAAAGCGCTGCTAAAAGCCGAGGTGGACTGTCTTGAGGTTTATCAGTCAGAAAAAAAAGTTTACACGGGTCATGTTTCCTTTGTCGTCAACTCTCATTTGATCGGTTATATTTTCATAAAGTTACAATCTGCTTCACACAAAGAAATGTAACACTCCCACACAAAGACATTTAACACTCCGGCTACAGTTGAACTCTGAAACCAACAGGGCAACAAGGCACGTGGTGTGTTGTGATGATGCCACCAACACTTCAAAGTGTGGGTCTGAAAGGGCACCCTATTCCCTATGCAGTTCAGTGCCCATAAGTGCTCAACATAGTTGCTGAAAGATGTTTTGGGGGTGGGGCTAAGATTTTTTTTATTCATACATTTTTCTTTTGATTTTCAGGGGGTGCTGCAGCAGGCCTAATACCCGCGGCTATGCACCACCCTGCATGTCGCTCAACTTCAATCAAACACCTCCAGTACTTGACATCCTGTATTTTACCCAGGTGTGACTGCATCCTGAGTTGTATTGAATTGATCATTTCTATTCACATTAATATATAAAAGTGGTTAGAACAGAACAGGGAAGGAAGACGACAGGTGTTCGTTCAGAGAGGAAGGTGTTGGCTCATTTCTTGAACCTGCTGAAGTGCTCACGGGAGATGATTAGTCTCTGGATCTGGGCGGTGCCTTCATAGATCTGGAATGAGACAAGCAGAAAGATTTAAATTGGAGACCATTTATAATCATTTTCCATCAATTGAGCAAGGAGTTTTTCCGAACCAGTTGACTGGACTAGGGAAGTGTTCAGTGAGGCACAACGTGGCTAAACATTTTGCAACGGAAACCAAAAATGATTGCTTAAGTTCAGGTGGTAATGTACCGCCGCTGAACACAACCCAGGAAATAGTCTAAAGCTAGGACCCAACGTTTACGCAGGGCTCGTATTCACAAAGCTGATCTGGGATCAGGTCCCGTCCATCCATATAATCTTACTCCTTATGAGCTAAAAAAGGGTCAGCACTCCGATGCTTTGTGAATACAGGCCCTGGTCAGATAACATTTACATTGATAGTGGTGCTGGCTACTTACTGGTTGTTTAGCATGCTTACAGAATTTTAAAAACAGTTTATGAGGTAGAAATGCCCCCCACCTGGTAGATCTTGGCATCCCTCATCAGTTTCTCTACGGGGTATTCAGAGTTGAAGCCGTTTCCTCCAAACACCTGCACGGCGTCGCTGGCCACCTGGTTGGCGATGTCCCCGGCGAAGGCCTTAGCGATGGAGGCGTAGTACGTGTTCCTCCTCCCGTTGTCAACCTCCCACGCTGACCTCTGCCAGCCCATCCTGGCCAGCTCCACCTTCATGGCCATCTCAGCCAACAGGAACGACACTGCCTGGTGCTGTAGGGGGGAGGGAGACAGTCAAACCTTGGGGATGTGTTCAGCAAGACGCAACATTTTGGAACTTTCAGATAGAAATATGCTATGTAGAACAAACATGCCTCTGATATGTAGAATAAAGAGTAATGGTTGGCTCTTTTTGTGGAATTTCTACTCGCAACTGAACGTGGCCCTGTTGCCAGTTTCCCAGACTAAGATGAAGTCTACTCCTGACGAAAAGGCACTTTCAAGTGAGACTGCGGTAGCATTATCAATTGTGTAAAAAATTATAAAATGGTATGAGGCCAAAGGTCAAACCTTAGAGCACTAGGGCCAGTTTCCCCAGACTAAGACGAAGTCTACTCCTGGACTGAAAAGCACTTTCGATTGCGATGAGCTCTTGTTGAGGCTGAATTGATTAATCTCTTCAACATTCTAAACACCCATACTTAACATCGCTTCATGTATTTCTATGTGGTGTGGAACTGTGGATATTGAAACGAAGTGGTTAACCTCAGCGATGAGTTTTCCAAAGGTCCTCCTCTCCAGAGCGTAGCCAGTGGCTTCATCCAGAGCTCTCTGAGCCAGACCTGTAGCCCCTGCAGCCACCTGGATACACAGAGGAACTCTCATCACTAACTCATAATATGGCAGGTAGGGTTGCAAAATTCTGGTAACTTTCCCACAATTCCCAGGTTTTCAGGAGGGAATAAACCCTGCAATCCTTTAGCTTTCTGGAAAACCTGAGGATTTTGGGATGGTTACCGGAAATGTTGCTAACATAAAACGGCAGTGGTGTCAAACATGCAGCCCGCCATGTTGTCTAGGAAACCATGACTCACTGGTGGTCTGGTCTTGTCGAAAGCTCCCATGGCGATCTTGAAGCCGGCTCCTTCTCCAATCAGAACGTTCTCCTTGGGTATCCTGACGTCCTCAAAGGTGATTCCTCTGGTGTCAGAACACCGCTGGCCCATGTTCAACTCCTACACACAGAGCAATATTATAGCTTAGTATAGTAACCATGTTCAACTCCTACACACAGAGCAATATTATAGCTTAGTATAGTAACCATGTTCAACTCCTACACACAGAGCAATATTATAGCTTAGTATAGTAACCATGTTCAACTCCTACACACAGAGCAATATTATAGCTTAGTATAGTAACCATGTTCAACTCCTACACACAGAGCAATATTATAGCTTAGTATAGTAACCATGTTCAACTCCTACACACAGAGCAATATTATAGCTTAGTATAGTAACCATGTTCAACTCCTACACACAGAGCAATATTATAGCTTAGTATAGTAACCATGTTCAACTCCTACACACAGCGCAATATTATAGCTTAGTATAGTAACCATGTTCAACTCCTACACACAGAGCAATATTATAGCTTAGTATAGTAACCATGTTCAACTCCTACACACAGAGCAATATTATAGCTTAGTATAGTAACCATGTTCAACTCCTACACACAGAGCAATTATTATAGCTTAGTATAGTAACCATGTTCAACTCCTACACACAGAGCAATATTATAGCTTAGTATAGTAACCATGTTCAACTCCTACACACAGAGCATATACTTATATAGTACCATGTCCGCCCTACCACAGAGCATATTATAGCTTAGTATAGTAACCATGTTCAACTCCTACACACAGAGCAATATTATAGCTTAGTATAGTAACCATGTTCAACTCCTACACACAGAGCAATATTATAGCTTAGTATAGTAACCATGTTCAACTCCTACACACAGAGCAATATTATAGCTTAGTATAGTAACCATGTTCAACTCCTACACACAGAGCAATATTATAGCTTAGTATAGTAACCATGTTCAACTCCTACACACAGAGCAATATTATAGCTTAGTATAGTAACCATGTTCAACTCCTACACACAGAGCATTATTATAGCTTAGTATAGTAACCATGTTCAACTCCTACACACAGAGCATTATTATAGCTTAGTATAGTAACCATGTTCAACTCCTACACACAGAGCATTTATAGCTTAGTATAGTAACCATGTTCAACTCCTACACACAGAGCATTATTATAGCTTAGTATAGTAACCATGTTCAACTCCTACACACAGAGCAATTATTATAGCTTAGTATAGTAACCATGTTCAACTCCTACACACAGAGCATTATTATAGCTTAGTATAGTAACCATGTTCAACTCCTACACACAGAGCATTATTATAGCTTAGTATAGTAACCATGTTCAACTCCTACACACAGAGCATTATTATAGCTTAGTATAGTAACCATGTTCAACTCCTACACACAGAGCAATATTATAGCTTAGTATAGTAACCATGTTCAACTCCTACACACAGAGCAATATTATAGCTTAGTATAGTAACCATGTTCAACTCCTACACCACAGAGCAATATTATAGCTTAGTATAGTAACCATGTTCAACTCCTACACACAGAGCAATATTATAGCTTAGTATAGTAACCATGTTCAACTCCTACACACAGAGCAATATTATAGCTTAGTATAGTAACCATGTTCAACTCCTACACACAGAGCAATATTATAGCTTAGTATAGTAACCATGTTCAACTCCTACACACAGAGCATTATTATAGCTTAGTATAGTAACCATGTTCAACTCCTACACACAGAGCATTATTATAGCTTAGTATAGTAACCATGTTCAACTCCTACACACAGAGCATTATTATAGCTTAGTATAGTAACCATGTTCAACTCCTACACACAGAGAAATATTATAACTTAGTATAGTAACCATGTTCAACTCCTACACACAGAGCAATATTATAGCTTAGTATAGTAACCATGTTCAACTCCTACACACAGAGCAATATTATAGCTTAGTATAGTAACCATGTTCAACTCCTACACACAGAGCATTATTATAGCTTAGTATAGTAACCATGTTCAACTCCTACACACAGAGCAATATTATAGCTTAGTATAGTAACCATGTTCAACTCCTACACACAGAGCAATATTATAGCTTAGTATAGTAACCATGTTCAACTCCTACACACAGAGCAATATTATAGCTTAGTATAGTAACCATGTTCAACTCCTACACACAGAGCAATATTATAGCTTAGTATAGTAACCATGTTCAACTCCTACACACAGAGCATTATTATAGCTTAGTATAGTAACCATGTTCAACTCCTACACACAGAGCAATATTATAGCTTAGTATAGTAACCATGTTCAACTCCTACACACAGAGCAATATTATAGCTTAGTATAGTAACCATGTTCAACTCCTACACACAGAGCAATATTATAGCTTAGTATAGTAACCATGTTCAACTCCTACACACAGAGCAATATTATAGCTTAGTATAGTAACCATGTTCAACTCCTACACACAGAGCAATATTATAGCTTAGTATAGTAACCATGTTCAACTCCTACACACAGAGCAATATTATAGCTTAGTATAGTAACCATGTTCAACTCCTACACACAGAGCAATATTATAGCTTAGTATAGTAACCATGTTCAACTCCTACACACAGAGCAATATTATAGCTTAGTATAGTAACCATGTTCAACTCCTACACACAGAGCAATATTATAGCTTAGTATAGTAACCATGTTCAACTCCTACACACAGAGCAATATTATAGCTTAGTATAGTAACCATGTTCAACTCCTACACACAGAGCAATATTATAGCTTAGTATAGTAACCATGTTCAACTCCTACACACAGAGCAATATTATAGCTTAGTATTGTAACATGTTCAACTCCTACACACAGAGCAATATTATAGCTTAGTATAGTAACCATGTTCAACTCCTACACACAGAGCAATATTATAGCTTAGTATAGTAACCATGTTCAACTCCTACACACAGAGCAATATTATAGCTTAGTATAGTAACCATGTTCAACTCCTACACACAGAGCAATATTATAGCTTAGTATAGTAACCATGTTCAACTCCTACACACAGAGCATTATTATAGCTTAGTATAGTAACCATGTTCAACTCCTACACACAGAGCAATATTATAGCTTAGTATAGTAACCATGTTCAACTCCTACACACAGAGCAATATTATAGCTTAGTATAGTAACCATGTTCAACTCCTACACACAGAGCAATATTATAGGTTAGTATTGTAACATGTTCAACTCCTACACACAGAGTAATATAGCTTAGTATAGTAACCATGTTCAGACACCAATCTCAGATCCTCTACAGTTTGCAGCATACACAAGTGAGTCATTTCATTCGTTCTAGCTAGCTAAAATCATTGGGCATGTATGCGCAACAAACAAAAAAATTTATCCGGTCACTACTACGTAGAATTATTGATCCAAGCAGAATGGCGACAGAGTGATATAATTGATCAGCCATTGAGACACCAGATCCTCACCTTCCTGCCCACTAGTATTCCAGGTGTGTCCGCGTCGACGATGAAGCCTGTGAAAGCCTTGCTGGTTGGACACTTCGGGTCAACATCAGTACGGGCCAGCAGGAAATACCTGTGAGCAATGAGAGGACAGACGGTGTCATATCACAACACATTATACTGCTGCCTGGGGAAGAAACGTAAAGGCCCAGACACTGTTCCTCATCTTTTATAGAGAAAATGTTTAATTCCACAAAGAGGCATTAAAGTGTTCAGCATGGGGGGGGGGGGGGGGACATCTTTATTGAGAAATGACTTTATAACGGTGTGCGTTTCTCCTCTCACCAGTTGGCTTTGCCTCCGTTGGTGATCCACATCTTCTGACCGTTAACAACGTACTCGTCTCCTTTCTTCACCGCCCGTGTCTTGAGGGCCGCCACGTCAGAGCCTGCCCCGGGCTCCGTCACACCGTACGCCTGGTAGTCAACACACATGCATCCAGAAACACCCTCAGCATTTTATCATACTATACAAATATTTGATCTCTCTCTCTCTCTCATCGATGACCCTTTTCAGACATAATGGAATGTGGCGCCTTGAAAGCGCCTCAGCTATGGCATGTTTGTCTGTTAGGGTAGGCAACACTACGGCTTTTTTTTTTTATACTCCTGAGTGGCGCAGTGGTCTAAGGCACTGCATCGCAGCGCTAACTGTGCCACTAGAGATCCTGGTTCGAATCCAGGCTCTGTCGCAGCCGGCCGCGACCGGGAGACTCATGGGCGGCGCACAATTGGCCCAGCGTCGTCCAGGGTAGGGGAGGGAATGGCCGGCAGGGATGTAGCTCAGTTGATAGAGCATGGCGTTTGCAACGCCAGGGTTGTGGGTTCGATTCCTACGGGGGGCTAGTATAAAATAAAATGTATTCACTAACTGTAAGTCGCTCTGGATAAGAGCGTCTGCTAAATGACTAATATGTAATATGTTAAATGTAGACACGAAACCTCCGGGTGGATGAACAGGCATTTTACTTGTCTGTAAAGGATTTCTGCTTCTGAAGCAGGACTAAACATCCATCACTAGGCAACCAGAACTGTCAATCAAATAATATCGACCTGCCTGCAGCAGACCACTCTCTCCTAAAAAAAACTAACACTTTAAAGTTTATTAAATACTGTGATGTACCAAGACATTTAGTAGAAATAAAACACATCTAGCTACAATACCATAAACAATAACACAACAGCACATTAAATCAGCAACGTTTATTGTTGTCAGGGGAAAAAAATAAAACAACATTTTAGGCCGGAGAATAATTATACTGTCTGAAAAGGTAGGCCTGCAGATGGGTACTGTCTGAAAAGGTAGGCCTGCAGATGGGTACTGTCTGAAAAGGTAGGCCTACAGATGGGTACTGTCTGAAAAGGTAGGCCTACAGATGGGTACTGTCTGAAAAGGTAGGCCTACAGATGGGTACTGTCTGAAAAGGTAGGCCTACAGATGGGTACTGTCTGAAAAGGTAGGCCTACAGATGGGTACTGTCTGAAAAGGTAGGCCTACAGATGGGTACTGTCTGAAAAGGTAGGCCTGCAGATGGGTACTGTCTGAAAAGGTAGGCCTACAGATGGGTACTGTCTGAAAAGGTAGGCCTACAGATGGGTACTGTCTGAAAAGGTAGGCCTACAGATGGGTACTGTCTGAAAAGGTAGGCCTACAGATGGGTACTGTCTGAAAAGGTAGGCCTACAGATGTGCCACTTTTTTAAATAGTCTATTGACAGGTTACTGTGGCTGTGTTCCAGGTCTCTGTGAAGGGTTGTGGTACATAGAACTTCATTGCCAGGCCCTAGCAGTCATACATTCGTAATAGGATCATTATTCTGCATTGTGAATTGACGTGGATTTCGTCGTTAACCGTCTGACAAATGGCAGAGAAAGGCAAGCGACAACAGTGAAGTCCTGTATGGCAACACTTTGACAAGTTAAAAAGACAAGGTGGTAAAATGCAAACGTTGCGAGGTGGAATTGAGGTACAGTAACGGTAGTACAGGTTCAATGCTTAACCACCTGAAAAGGGGGGGGGGGGCGCACCGTGAGTCATACGCAATAGGACCATATGGATATCTGCATTGTGAATTCACATGGATTTCTTTTTTAAATTGTTCTTATCGTTTTAACGGAAAACTGATAAAACAATGGCCGTTTAAACATGAAGAAATGTTTTCCACTTGTCACATCCCTAATTCCTTCCTGTATTTCATATGATGGTCTACTAATTCCTTCCTGTATTTCATATGATGGTCTACTAATTCCTTCCTGTATTTCATATGATGGTCTACTAATTCCTTCCTGTATTTCATATGATGGTCTACTAATTCCTTCCTGTATTTCATATGATGGTCTACTAATTCCTTCCTGTATTTCATATGATGGTCTACTAATTCCTTCCTGTATTTCATATGATGGTCTACTAATTCCTTCCTGTATTTCATATGATGGTCTACTAATTCCTTCCTGTATTTCATATGATGGTCTACTAATTCCTTCCTGTATTTCATATGATGGTCTACTAATTCCTTCCTGTATTTCATATGATGGTCTACTAATTCCTTCCTGTATTTCATATGATGGTCTACTAATTCCTTCCTGTATTTCATATGATGGTCTACTAATTCCTTCCTGTATTTCATATGATGGTCTACTAATTCCTTCCTTATTTCATATTATGGTCTACTAATTCCTTCCTGTATTTCATATGATGGTCTACTAATTCCTTCCTGTATTTCATATGATGGTCTACTAATTCCTTCCTGTATTTCATATTATGGTCTACTAATTCCTTCCTGTATTTCATACGATGGTCTACTAATTCCTTCCTGTATTTCATACGATGGTCTACTAATTCCTTCCTGTATTTCATACGATGGTCTACTAATTCCTTCCTGTATTTCATATTATGGTCTACTAATTCCTTCCTGTATTTCATACGATGGTCTACTAATTCCTTCCTGTATTTCATACGATGGTCTACTAATTCCTTCCTGTATTTCATATGATGGTCTACTAATTCCTTCCTGTATTTCATATGATGGTCTACTAATTCCTTCCTGTATTTCATATGATGGTCTACTAATTCCTTCCTGTATTTCATGATGGTCTACTAATTCCTTCCTGTATTTCATATGATGGTCTACTAATTCCTTCCTGTATTTCATATGATGGTCTACTAATTCCTTCCTGTATTTCATATGATGGTCTACTAATTCCTTCCTGTATTTCATATGATGGTCTACTAATTCCTTCCTGTATTTCATATGATGGTCTACTAATTCCTTCCTTTATTTCATATTATGGTCTACTAATTCCTTCCTGTATTTCATATGATGGTCTACTAATTCCTTCCTGTATTTCATATGATGGTCTACTAATTCCTTCCTGTATTTCATATATGGTCTACTAATTCCTTCCTGTATTTCATATTATTGGTCTACTAATTCCTTCCTGTATTTCAATGATGGTCTACTAATTCCTTCCTGTATTTCATATGATGGTCTACTAATTCCTTCCTGTATTTCTATGATGGTCTACTAATTCCTTCCTGTATTTCATAGATGGTCTACTAATTCCTTCCTGTATTTCATAGATGGTTCTACTAATTCCTTCCTGTATTTCATAGATGGTCTACTAATTCCTTCCTGTATTTCATATGATGGTCTACTAATTCCTTCTGTATTTCCATTATTGATGGTCTACTAATTCCTTCCTGTATTTCATAGATGGTCTACTAATTCCTTCCTGTATTTCATAGGATGGTCTACTAATTCCTTCCTGTATTTCATATGATGGTCTACTAATTCCTTCCTGTATTTCATATGATGGTCTACTAATTCCTTCCTGTATTTCATATTATGGTCTACTAATTCCTTCCTGTATTTCATATGATGTCTACTAATTCCTTCCTGTATTTCATAGGATGGTCTACTAATTCCTTCCTGTATTTCATATGATGGACTATGAAAGAGAACAGAAAAAGCAACACTTACACACATGAGAGGTTCCTCTGTCATTCTTCCCAGGTACTTCTTCTTCTGGACGTCGTTACCTGCTATGATCACAGGCATTTGCTGTAAGGAAGAAACAGAAGAGCTCTTTGTGATGCCTGTATAGGGTTGCAAAAATCTGGTCACTCTCCCCCCAATTTCATGTCTTTCCAGAAAATCCGGGTTGGACGATTCCTGGAATTACAAGAGAATAAGCAGGAAATCTAGGAATCATCCAACCAGGATTTCTAGAAAACCAGAGAATTTGGGGAATGTCTGAACTTCGCCAGCCTAAGAAGAGATCTGTAGGAACCAGGGTTACAAGATTACACACAAACTGCCACTATGAACCTCCGATACACAGCAGGATCAATAGCAATATTTTAAGCAATAGATCTCATCAGCAATGTATCCATTACACATGTAAAAAAACAGAACACTTGGAAAGACAAATCAACCTTGATTCAAATCTTAGTTTTTTTCACTCTTTACAGTTTTACACCTCAATGACAATGTGAACTTACTCCAAGAGAGTTGGCCTCGATAGCGGTCTGAACTCCGGTGCAACCATAGGCCAGCTCTTCTGTGATGAGACAGGAGTCGAATATGCCCAGACCCATTCCACCACAGTCCTCTGGGATGTGAGAGTTCATCAGGCCCAGCTCCCATGCCCTCTTGATGATGGGGAAAGGATACTGTGGGATAAGAAGGGTTAGGGTGGTCCAATACAAAGCTGCTGCTGGCTGGACTGACAGCTACTCAATGGACACTAATCTAATTCAACACAGATGACAGCATGCCACTGCTTGGTATACAAACACGTTGAGAAAGACCCGAGTACCAAGTTGATGTCTTCTACTCACTTCTCCACTCCTGTCGTAGGCTGCTGCAGCAGGGACAATCTCCTCCCGGGAAAACTTCCTGGCTAGCTCCTGGAACTCTTTCTGCTGGTCTGTCATCTCTGTTGGTAGTTAGACAGAGGTAGGGAGGGAAGGAGATAAGGGGAGAGACAGACAGAGAAAGTCTATAAATACACAGGTATGCATTGACAGAGAGCCCTGGCTGACAGCTACTCACAGAGAGCCCTGGCTGACAGCTACTCACAGAGAGCCCTGGCTAACAGCTACTCACAGAGAGCCCTGGCTAACAGCTACTCGCAGAGAGCCCTGGCTAACAGCTACTCGCAGAGAGCCCTGGCTAACAGCTACTCACAGAGAGCCCTGGCTAACAGCTACTCACAGAGAGCCCTGGCTAACAGCTACTCACAGAGAGCCCTGGCTAACAGCTACTCGCAGAGAGCCCTGGCTAACAGCTACTCGCAGAGAGCCCTGGCTGACAGCTACTCACAGAGAGCCCTGGCTGACAGCTACTCACAGAGAGCCCTGGCTAACAGCTACTCACAGAGAGCCCTGGCTAACAGCTACTCACAGAGAGCCCTGGCTAACAGCTACTCACAGAGAGCCCTGGCTAACAGCTACTCACAGAGAGCCCTGGCTAACAGCTACTCACAGAGAGCCCTGGCTGACAGCTACTCACAGAGAGCCCTGGCTAACAGCTACTCACAGAGAGCCCTGGCTAACAGCTACTCACAGAGAGCCCTGGCTAACAGCTACTCACAGAGAGCCCTGGATAACAGCTACTCACAGAGAGCCCTGGCTAACAGCTACTCACAGAGAGCCCTGGCTAACAGCTACTCACAGAGAGCCCTGGCTAACAGCTACTCACAGAGAGCCCTGGCTAACAGCTACTCACAGAGAGCCCTGGCTGACAGCTACTCACAGAGAGCCCTGGCTAACAGCTACTCACAGAGAGCCCTGGCTAACAGCTACTCACCAAAGCAGAACCCAGTTGATGGAGCATTCTGAGAGCTGGTGGCGGCCACGGCTGCAGCACTGGTGCTCTGGAGCCGCAGGACAGACTGCACACCCACTCTCAGAGACTTGAGGAGAGGTGGGGAGAGGGCACAGAACAAATCAACAACTACAATAACCTTATGGTTGCGCAAGGGCCAAGGCGAGGGGACACAGTTACTCCGTCCAAAACGGCACCCTCTCCCCCCCTGGGCCCATAGGTAGTAGGGTGCCGTTTGAGACCTCATCCCACTAGCTAATGAATACAAGCCAGAGGAGAGAAAAACAAGCAGATTACTATAGGTTTGTAGATTACTTACGATTTCAATTTTATTTTAGAGGGATCTTTACTTCTGGTCTACAGTAGTTAGGTTTACAAGAGTGCCAGAAATGTTACGTCATCAATTGACAGATCAAGAGGTTGATTGAAATGGTTTGAATATGGGGTTAGATGCGTCATGTCCCCTAGCTAGTTCACAACACATTTTCACAACAAACGGCAAAGCTATAACCTACAAGAAAGCTAGCATGTACATGTAGCGCAGAAAGGAACCAATGCTTTTCACACTAACGTTAGGCATTCATTAACGTTATCGTTAGCTAGCTAACTTAATGCTAGCGTGCATTTTCTCAGCTAGTAAGACAAGCTATCAAATGTGAAAAATTCCTCGATTTCTCGAGAAACCTGTCAACTAGGAACTACACAAAGCTTAAAAGACATCTTCAGTAACTGTTAAAGCACGTCTGTTATTTGTTCATTAGCTGTATTTACCTTGTTGAAAAGCATTGCTATGGTTGCACTACAGACGTCCGTGTTATAAAATCTTTGCGCACCAACTTCGCCTTTGTCCCACAGGAAGAAAGTCAATGTTTTATCCAATCAGGGCTGCGGGTTCTGTCACATGACGTTACTTTTGACTTTTCACCTACTTTCTTACCTAAGCCAAAGATGTTCTATAATATTTGCGAGATAGACGAGTGACCGCTCTAACAATAGAAATACATGTCATCAGAGATGGAAGGCAGGGTGAGATCAGGTGGGACCATTCTAGCCAATGAGCAAATTAGCAATAAATAAAAAAAGTTTTGACCAAATTCGACACGCTTTCATTAGCTAGGTTTCTATCCAATTGGCCCCCCCAAAAAAAATAATCATGCGATTATTCTAAAATCTGCATAAAGAAAATATGTTCATTTCCCAGCGGTGGTGTGTTTCCACCATAGACTGTAAAAAAGTAGGTTTCCACCAAACGGACTTATTGCAGATAAAAAAATCAGTGCGTGATGATGTAGCGCACACAAAATCTACTTTTTCGCTTAAATTTCCATGTACTGAATAAAAATCTAAAGTTTCCATCGCATTTTCAACTCTACGGATAGTTTTGTCACAAAAACTGTTGCGTAAAATAGCAAATGTGCCTACTCTAGTTTTGGCACAAGCGCTCCAGCCAACAGTTTGCAGATAACAGTGCGGGAAGGCTTGTCTACATGAGATTATTATGGATAAGAGCGAGAATGTTAGTATTGGTCAAACGGCAGTCAAGTATCGATCATCATGTCACCAGAATAAGACCCTGGATATTTATTGGAAAGGATCATCACCGTGCCCTTTCACCACCCTGTGAAGTTCATTATAACTTATTTCATCTGTAGCCTAATAAACTGCATGGTTTCCCGAGTCGTAGTAGGAGGACCACACACCATATCATCCCGTGACTCCAAATTTACTTGGTACTTGGTATGATGGTTAGGCGATTATATCAATATTTGCAACATTTATCGCATAATTAATTTTACCAACACAAAAAGATTCCACCACGTCGAACAAATGATCTGTCGGCATTCGTAAAATTGTACCGAAACGTCCTGTTTCCATCACAGCTCTCGTGATTTTTTTTATTTTGTAGGACTTGAATGCAGAAAAACTGTGGATGGAAACGTGGTTATTGACTTCCATATAAGAATTCCTCACTTCGGGGTTTTATTTTCGTGAACAGATTTTGGGCGGAGTAAACCCTCTCGCTTCGCCTTTTCCTCTCTGCCTAAACTATAACAATAACACAATATTCTCATTTTACGAAAGAAATCATTTGAAATAATTAAATTAAATCATATATATTTGTATAGACTAACCATAGTTTGTGTAAGGACAATAATGATGTTCTTTGATTGTGAACAAATTAGTGAACTTGGCAATAGAAACCATACGCTAATACAGGATAATGACACCATGCAAACCCATCATATCTTTTAGACCAGTGTCCAACCATATAGAACTTTGGTTAAAAAACACTCCAAACCCAGTGTACGACTTCAGGAGAATTGTTATTGCGTTGAGATGTACCATATTGAACTCTAAAACCAAGTGAGTTTATTCTATATTGGAATATAATATAAACTTTGTATATAATACATTATCAAATTAAATAATATACTCTTAAAATAATATATTTCCTTAGAGATATGTTATTCCCTATATTTTATCATGTTGGATAAGTCTGTCACAGGAATGTGATGATGGCCAGGGTAGTTATAATAGACAAGATAAGCTCTTGTCCTGTCATAATTATTTAGTCATTTAGCAGACGCTCTTATCCAGAGCCACTTACAGTAGTGAGTTCATACATTTTCACACATTATATAACAAGGTCAAGCAAAGTGGGAAAATACAGTTTCACACTGACAGTTTCAAGTTACAACTTGTACGGAATGGAAAATGACAGGTTGTACAATATATACAGTATGTCATAGAGCCTGATTAATGGTCTTTAACACATTATGGGCCTCATGGCTACCAGAGTAGAGGTCAATCCAGTGGTATTTCTATCATTGTGTGGCCAAATTTGTTTACATCCCTGTTGGTGAGCATTTCTCCTTTGCCAAGATAATCCATCCACCTGACAGGTGTGGCATATCAAGAAGCTGATTAAACAGCATGGTCAATACACAGGTGCACCTTGTGCTGGGGACAATAAAAGGCCACCAAAATTAGCAGTTGTGTCACACAACACAACAGATGTCTCAAGTTGAGGGAGCATGCAATTGGCATGTTTACTGCAGAAATGTCTACCAGAGCTTTTGCCAGATAATTGAATGTTCATTTCTCTACCATAAGCAGTCTCCAACATCGTGTTAGAGAATTTGGCAGTATGTCCAACCGGCCTCACAACTGCAGACCATGTGTATGGCGTTGTGTGGGCAAGCGGTTTGCTGATGTCAACTTTGTGAACAGAGTGCCCCATGATGACAGTGGGGTTATGGTGTGGGCAGGCATAAGCTACAGACAACGAACACAATTGCATTTTATCGATGGCAATTTGATTGCACATAAATACCATGACGAGATCTTGAGGCACATTTTTTTTTAAATCTGTGACCAACAGATGCATATCTGTATTACCAGTCATGTGAAATCCATAGATTTGGGCCTAATTTATTTATTTAAATTGACTGATTTCCCCATATGAACTGTAACTCAGTAAAATCAATGAAATTGTTGTATGTTGTGTTTATATTTTTGTTTAGTATAGAAAAAGTACATTTCCTTAAGAAAATGGTGTGCATGCTAGCCTGAACAAGTTGGTTCAGTGTCTCTAGCTTGAATGGTTCAAGACTCACTGTTGGCGCGTTATTTTATTTTATGCAAATGTATATAGTTATAGTTGATAAGTTTAAGAATTTGAAGTCAGGATAGCGTGAATGTTTTAAAGTTGGTCTTACAGCTTAACTGGCCAAGGAGTAGGACCATTTTAAATAGCTACCAGTTACTGTTTTTCTAATTCAAACCATGTTAATTCATGCACATTTGAAATGCTTACAGTAAATATAAACGTTACCAAAATTCTGAATGCAAACAATCTAAGTTGGGTCAGTCTGAACCAGTTTGGCGTTGATAGCTTAAATGGTGTAGGAGGTGATGCATTTCAAAATGTCCCCAATGTAAGTCTATGGCACTTTTGCCATTCAAATTCATTGGAAGCTCATTTAAAGTATAAATGCTATCGAATTCTCAAGCAACCTAATTTGGGGTAGTCTGAACATAAACATTGGTTTGGAGTTGATCGCTTAAACGATGAAGTCGTTAGAATGTCAGTATCACAAAGTTTGATATAAGCAGTTTGAGGATGTAACTTTTTCCTCCCACATGTCCTTCACCAGTTAGCTGCCATCTGACAATGGCCCATCGCAACTACACCTAAACTATATTGAACAAAAATAAACGCAACATACAATTTCAAAGATTTTACTGATTAACAGTTCGTAAGGAAAATCAGTCAATTTAAATAAATTCATTAGACCCTAATCTATGAATTTTACATGAATAGGAATACAGATATGCATCTGTTGGTCACAGATACCTTAAAAAGGTAGGGACGTAGATCAGAAAACCAGTCAGTATCTGGTGTGACCACCATTTGCCTCATGCAGCGCGACACATCTCCTTCGCATAGAGTTGATCAGGCTGTTGATTGTGGCCTGTGGAATGTTGTCCCACTCCTCTTCAACGGCTGTGAGAAGTTTCTGGATATTGGCGGGAACTGGAACACGCTGTCGTACACCAGGCTCTGTCGTAGCTGGCCGCAACCGGGAGACTCATGGGCGGCGCGCAATTGGCCCAGCATCGTCCAGGGTAGGGGAGGGAATGGCCGACAGGGATGTAGCTCAGTTGATAGAGCATGGCGTTTGCAACGGCAGGGTTGTGGGTTCGATTCCCACAGGGGGTATGAAAAAAATAAAATAATGTATGCACTAACTGTAAGTCGCTCTGGATAAGAGCGTCTGCTAAATGACTAAAATGTAAATGTACACGTCGATCCAGAGCATTCCAAACATGCTCAACGGGTGACATGTCTGGTGGGTATGTAGGCCATGGAAGAACTGGGACATTTTCAGCTTCCAGGAATTGTGTACAGGTGCTTGCGACATGGAGACGTGCATTATCATGCTGAAACATGTGGTGATAGCGGTTGGATAAACGGCACGAGGATGGGCCTCTTCACTGTGTATCTGCACATTCAAAGCGCCATCGATAAAATGCAATTGTGTTCGTTGTCCGTAGCTTATGCCTGCCCACACCATAACCCCACCGCCACTCTGTTCACAACCTTGACATCAGCAAACCACTCGCCCACATGAAGCTTTTACACGTGGTCTGCGGTTGTGAGGCAGGTTGGACGTACTGCCAAATTCTCTAAAACAACGTTGTGAGGCAGTTTATAGTAGATAAATGAACGGTGGACATTCCTGCAGTCAGCATGCCAATTACACGCTCCTTCAAAACATGAGACATCTGTGGCATTGTGTTGTGTGACAAAACTGCACATTTTAGAGTGGCCTTTGTGTCCCCAGCACAAGGTGCACCTGTGTAATGATCATGCTGTTTAATCAGCTTCTTGATATGCCACACCTGTCAGGTGGATGGATTATCTTGGCAAAGTAGAAATGCTCACTAACAGGGATGTAAGCTTTTTGTGAGTCTGGAACATTTACATTTTAGTCATTTAGCAGATGCTCTTATCCAGAGCGACATAAGTTAGTGAGTGCATACATTTTTTCTTCTCATACTGGCCCCCCGTGGGAATCGAACCCACAACCCTGGCGTTGCAAGCGCCATGCTCTACCAACTGAGCTACAGGACATTTGTGATCTTTAATTTCAGCTCATGAAACCGAAACTGTAGGTGTTGGGTTGCATTTATCAAAACTAATTTCACATATAATCATAGATGTAGTCTAAACTACAGTAGTTAATTTTTAATTAACCTCAAAATGCTCTTGGCGCTTCTTGTGTTGATCCAGATAAAAAAAGGAAACATAGTTATGTATGATTCATCTCTCCTCAGCAGTCGTTCAAATACCCACGTGGGTTTGAATGTTCCTGAAAAACCGAGGAGTAGACGGTTGAGTCGCGACTTGCAGCGCGTCAAGAGTCTCAAATAGAACCAAGTTCTATTTTAGCAACTGGATACACAGACACCTGTTGACGCGCGCATGCAGTGTGGATGAAATGTTTGAACAACACATTTGGCAACACTGGCACATGTAACGTGTCCGGTCTTGGGACTAAGGTTGATTAGTTACAGCTAAAAGAAAGACCTTGAAGCTTGTGAGACTTTTTGTGTTTTTATTGACATGGTATCAAAACAGCTGATGGATCTATTTGCCCTTCTTGGCCTTGATCTTCCTTAGGTAGAACTCCAGCTCCTTGCCCTCCAACACGTAACCATCCACCCTGCCACACTGGCCCGGCTTGGAGGCAATGCAGGCTGCAGGAAGGGAGAGAGAGAGGAGAGGAGGGAGGGGAGTGATACAGAGTGGGAGGAGAGAAAGAGGGAGAGAAAGCGTGTGAGAGGTGAGAAAGAGGAAGGAAGGGAGGGAAATACAGGAGGAAGAACAATTATTACTAAGTCAGACAAGAGCACCAACTAGCAGTTAACAGAAGTCTCATCAGAAAATTGGTTAAGGGGGTATCGTCGCCTGAGGATTCAGTAGCAGAACTGGATAAGATTTCCTCATGAATAACTGGACCACAACCTTGTAACGCCGTGTTCCTCACAGCTGGCCCTGAAGACCCACAGGGTTTGTTACAGCCCAGCACCACCCAATTCAACTTATGAAGTTCGGTCAATTAGGTGTTAGCGCCGGGGAGGAACGAGAGCCTGCACACATCCTGTGAGGACCCAACACCAATCCCAAAAGCTACAGGGAGTGCAGGCTTTTGTTCCAGCCATGCACCAACACCCTAAAAAAATCAGCCAGTTCTGACCCACACTGAAAATCATGATTAGATCCCTCACGTGTTGGTGCATGTCTGGAAACAAGTCTGAGTCCCAGGATATGGATGGAAGAACACTGTAGTAACCTGGAGCGTGTATCAAGCCTTTCAGAAGAGATCCAAGTCGTCCCTGATCCTACTCTGGGACTAAACACAGCAGAGCTTGTAGACTCACCGAGGAGCTTCCCCTGCATGAACTGTTCCTCAAGGAGAGAGCTGATCTTGCAGTTCTTCTTGCGCTCGTCAAACTTCTTCTGGATCTTCTTCGACCTCTTCTTGTTAATCACCTCCTCCTCCTCGGGAGTCTAACACAGGGAATAAAGACATTAGGCGATTAATGATGGGCACCAATGGCACAATTTCAAATACATTTTTTTGTATTGCACTGTTGAGTCTGCAAGAAAACATTTCACTGCACTGTTTATACCTGCTGTGTGAATGAACTGATCAACTAACGATGGTTAACCCCTGGCCTGCTGATAACACGTAATTTAGCTACAAAATCAAAAAAATGTCCCATTCTCCAGTACATTTAGTGTCACTCAGTTGTCTGGTAATAAAACCCAAGGTCGTTCTCAGAGTCACTAATATCAATCACAGTCATTCAGTAGCAGAACTGGACAAAGGTATCTTCATAGAAAGACCAGAGATTCTAAAAATCTACATATTGACTACAATGTTTCACACAGAAAGTGAAGGGAACAGAGTAGCAGCTTTGGGACTTAGCCGTCGGTTGTTGACTAAGTCACAAGTAGCGTGATAAAGAGTGTCTGCTAAATGACTAAAATGTAGTGCTCTACATTAGGGAGCAATTTGGGACACAGATTGTGGTCCTCTGTAGCTCAGCTGGTAGAGCACGGCGCTTGTAACGACAGGGTAGTGGGTTCGATCCCCGGGACCACCCATACACAAAGATGTATGCACGCATGACTGTAAGTCGCTTTGGATAAAAGCGTCTGCTAAATGGCATATTATTATTATTTAATTTAGATTGTTGAGTGGTTGTAGTAGATACCAGCAGAAGCTCCGGCCAAAGGTAGTGCACATTTAAGTCAGTTAATATCAGTCAATTGAAATAAATTCATCAGGCCCTAATCTATGGATTTCACATGACTGAGAATACAGATATGCATCCGTTGGTCACAGATACCCAAAAAATGATGGAGGTGGCTTATGGTAGAGAAATTAACATTCAATTCTCTGTCAACAGCTCAGGTGGACATTCCTGCAGTCAGCATGCCAATTGGACGCTCCCTCAACTTGAGACATCTGTGGCATTGTGTTGTGACAAAACTGCACATTTTAAAGTGGCCTTTATTGTCCCCAGCACAAGGTGCACCTGTGTAATGATCATGCTGTTTAATCAGCTTCTTGATATGCCACACCTGTCAGGTGGATGGATTATCTTGGCAAAAAAGAATGCTCACCAACAGGGATGTAAACAAATGTGCACACGAGATAAATAAGGTTTTAGTGAGTCTGGAAAATGGTCGGGATTTTTTTTTTTTTTTTTACTGTTAGATCATTGAACATGGGACCAACACTTTACATGTTGCATTTATATATTTTTTTCAGTATAGTATGTACCAAAACTAGTGCACACCATTTGAGACTTTTAGTACACTTTAGTCATTTTAGCAGATGCTCTTATCCCGAGCAACTTACAGTTAAGTGAGTGCATACATTTTCATACTGGCCCCCCGTGGGAAACGAACCCACAACCCTGGCGTTGCAAGCGCCATGCTCTACCACCTGGCCCACCGTGGGAAACGAACCCACAACTCTGGCGTTGCAAGCGCCATGCTCTACCACCTGGCCCACCATGGGAAACGAACCCACAACCCTGGCGTTGCAAGCGCCATGCTCTACCAACTGGCCCCCCGTGGGAAACGAACCCTCAACCCTGGCGTTGCAAGCGCCATGCTCTACCAACTGGCCCCCCGTGGGAAACGAACCCACAACCCTGGCGTTGCAAGCGCCATGATCTACCAACTGGCCCCCCGTGGGAAACGAACCCACAACCCTGGCGTTGCAAGTGCCATGCTCTACCAACTGGCCCCCCGTGGGAAACGAACCCTCAACCCTGGCGTTGCAAGTGCCATGCTCTACCACCTGGCCCCCCGTGGGAAACGAACCCACAACCCTGGCGTTGCAAGTGCCATGCTCTACCAACTGGCCCCCCGTGGGAAACAAACCCACAACCCTGGCGTTGCAAGCGCCATGCTCTACCAACTGGCCCCCCGTGGGAAACGAACCCACAACCCTGGCGTTGCAAGCGCCATGCTCTACCAACTGAGCTACACGGGCCAGAACATACGTACCAGCTTGGCTCCTTTCTTGCGCCCCAGAGGAGTGGCGAAGTGGGCCTCGTACCACTGCCTGTAGGGCAGGCTGTCCACGAGGACGATGCAGTTCTTCACCAAGGTCTTGGTTCTCACCAGCTCATTGTTGGAGGCGTTGTACACCACATCAATGATCCTGGTCTTACGAGTGCAGCCTGTAGAATGAACACAAGACGTGTCAAATACCTACTTTCCCCACCTGTGCGTGTAGTGGTGAAATTACTTTAGTTATGAAACATGGTTTCAAGTACAGCCTGTAAAATAAAAAAAACACAGGAACATTAGTGTTTAAGTAGCTTTCAAATGGCCAAATGTACATCTGTATACTGCAAAAACTACACTGAACAAAAATATAAACGCAACATGTAAAGTGTTGGTCCCATGTTTAATGATCTAACAGTAAAAATCCCAAATGTTCAATACGCACAAAGCTTATTTCTCTCATTGTATGCACACATTTGTTTACATCCCTGTTAGTGAGCATTTCCTCCTTTGCCAAAATAATCCATCCACCTGACATATAGATAAGATAATAAGATACCACTTTGAAACGCCACAGACGTCTCAAGCTGAAGGAGCATGCAGTTGGCATGTTTACTGCAGGAATGTCCACCAAAGATGTTCCAAGAGAATTTAATGTTCATTTCTCTACCATAAGCCGCCTCCAACGGCGCTTTACATAATATGGCAGTACGTCCAACCGGCCACACAACCAGTGTGGGTGAAGAGGAGTAATTATGTCTAATAAAGGCCTTGAGGGGATCTGCAGAGAAGAATGGGAGAAACTCCCCCAAATACAGGTGTGCCAAGCTTGTAGCGTCATACGCAAGAAGACTCAAGGCTGTAATCGCTGCCAATGGTACTTCAACAAAGTACTGATTAAAGGGTCTGAATAGTTAAGTAAATATGATGTTATTTTAAAAAGATTTGCTAAAATTTCTAAACCTGTTTTGATCTTTTTCATTAGGGGGCATAGTGCATAGATTGAGGACAAGTTTCTGTATTAACCCATTTTAGAACAAGGCGGTGATTGGGTCTGAATACTTCCCGAATGCACTGTACGCCTTGCCTGAAACAAAATATAAAAGGCTATTAGTTAACATCTACTCCAATTTGCTCACGAAACATTAATTCAAGGAAGATTGAAATGCATCGGCTATTCTCATGAAACTGATCAAAATCGCATGTTTGGCATGCAGATGCAGTTTCACTGGTCAAATGTGATTATAATTCATGACTGACAGTGCTGGACTATGGGTATGTCAAACTAACTGTTTGAGGGTATAACAAAACAAAACCTCAAAATGTAGGTTCTCATTCCAACCCTGTTCCTGGAGAGCTACCATCCTGTAGGTTCTCATTCCAACCCTAATCTAGCACACCTGATTCTAATAATTATATGTGTATAAGATTAGTGGGATTAGTTACAACTAGGGTTGGAGTGAAACCCTGCAGGACAGTAGTGCTCCAGGAACAGGGTTGAGAGCCTGTCGGTACAGACCTTGATTGAAGAAATGACATAAATATTTTATTTGCGCTCCCTCATCTAAAAGAAACAGCAGTAAACCACTGCAAGTCAGATCTGGGTCGGTCTGCTGCATGTGTTCATCCACCTGGAAGCCAAAATGCAACCATCCAATTACAGGGTAATAACGGCCCATGGAGACTTCGTTCCTCTATTTTCCATTGAGTATTCGCCAACACTGTAACTCATTAAAATTGGACCAGATTATTTTACCACACCAGCATTGCAATCCAATGCATGCATGATTTACGCAATAAACCGATATATTGCTGCGCTGTAATCTCCCCCCCCACAGAAGGCTATATTGGTCTGCTAATACAAGACTAGTAAAGGCCCAGCGCACTTCTTGTGGGAAAAATATTTATCCCAAAAAATATGTATTTGTATTTTCTCTCCAGGTTTTTTTAAGGCGGTGCTGCACCCAGAATTCCCTCTGCTATGGCCCAATGTTGTAAGGATCTGTACACAATTCCTGGAAGCTGAAAACGTCCCAGTTCTTTCATGGCCTGTATACTCAGACATCACCCATTTCCCATGTTCGGGATGTGTACAACTGCACGTTCCAGTTCCCGCCAACAACCAGCAACTTTGAGTGGGAAAACATTCCACAGGCCACACTCAGCCTGATCAACTCTATGCGAAGGAGAAGTGTCGCGCTGCATGAGGCAAACGGTCACACCAGATACTGACTGGTTCTGATCCTGGCCCTACCTTTTAAGGTATCTGTATTCCCAGTCGTAGCATCCATAGATTACAGCCTAATTAATTTCGATTGACCCTTTTCCTTTATTGAACTAACTCTGGAAAATATTTACCTGTTGCGTTCATATTCTTTCAGTATAGTTAACTACATTTCAAAAGTTGCATTATTGCCAAATGCACACCTGTACGTATTAAATCAAGTGAAATTAATTGAGTTCTCAAACATTTAGTTTCATGGGTGAATCTAGCTAGTCTTTCTCAGAGTCACGAATAGCATCACAAACATTCAGTAGCAGAACTGGACATGGATATCTTCATGGAAAGACTCACTACTCCCTTACAGATTTAACTTGTGTACAGCTGATATCCATAACAGAACGACTGTGTGGAGACTTACACTCAGAGCCCCAGGAGAAGTTTCCCACGTCGACCCTCAGAGCACGGTACTTCTTGTTGCCACCACGGGTCCTCACCGTGTGAATACGGCGAGGTCCGATCTAGGACAAGAGCAGTAGAAACCAAACCAAAGGTGAATTCATTGCATTAAATGGGATACCAAAGTGGCCACATGTGTCCCATTGTTTGGCATAAGTGTGTCAGTGTAACTATGACAGTCCGGGTCATTGGTAGGTCCTAAAACTTTGAACCAAAACGGTCAAAACAGACCTACCTATGGTCAATTTCTAATCATCCACACCACAAACAATCAACCCTCGCATTTTACTAGCTTCTGTCCACAATACCACTACACGTGGTCTGCGTGTCTTCTTTACCTTGGTGTTCGCAGGGGGACGACCCAGCTCATACTTCCTCTTCTTGTGGTAGGGCTTGCGTTTGCCGCCGGTCTTGCGGCGTTTATGCCAGTTGTCCCTAGAGATACCTGGGGACACAGAAACAGAGGCAAGACACTAGTGAGAGAGGAGCAAACTCTACAAAAAAAACACTCACGCCAATTGGAAGCCATTGTGCTTGCGAGTGTCAGTTCTCCAAGGTGGTTATCCGCACAGTAATCTCGGAAACCTATTGGTCATCATATTCACTCAAGCACACAGCTTCTCCGAGCGGAGTGCACCACTACCTAGCGGGGTACACATTGTTAGCGCGTCCGCCGCCTGAGCTAGCGTGGTTGTGAGTAACCATTGGCCAACATCGACATAGTATTAACGAGAAAGAGTAGCCCGTTCAGTCACTGAACAAGCATTTTCTTCGTAAACATTCACTGATTTAGTCAATATAGCAAAATAGATTAATTAGTTAACGTACTAAATTGAGAAAACGGACAACACTTTTCCAAAGGCCTATCGCTAGCTTACAACATCGCTAACTAACGAGGAATACCTTCCAGCAAAATTTCTACCAAAACAAAATGTAACAGAGCAATGTATATTAGGTCTGAGAAGATAGACTAAACTTGGAAAATATTAATACAAGCGACAGTGCAATTTGAGAAATATTTGCAAGTCAAGTAGACTAGCCCATGAGAGCCGCCATCTTGTAACATGTCAGACATCATTTTACAATAATTCAGCGGAAAAATAATCTACGGGGGATATTGGCGTAATTTAACAACATACCCGTAGATATTCAAATAAAATGTTACCTGCCAAACCATTATTGTTATATTCCTGATGTAAAACAACTGATGGACAAGGATTCTCGCAGCGACCCGAGGATGAAAACACTTACCCATTCTCAGGCGCCGGCTAGAAAGAGGACGCGCAAAGGCTCATGGGGAGGTTTGACGGTGTCAGATATCGCGAGATTGTACGAGAACTCTCGAAATACATGCGCGCAAACTGAAACGTTGACTTCCGCCATCCGTGTGTGATTTGTGACACCAACCGGGATAAACGTGAAAGCCCCCAAAATGAGTACTGCATAGATTTATACATGTAGGGAACTAAAATTGCATTTTGGAGGCTGGGAAACTGTCCACAGGGGGACGTTTCATTACTTTTGACAGTACTCACATTTTTGGACCTGCACTGTTGGAGTTTAAGAATTTCACTGTACACCGCGATTACCCTGTGCATGTGACTAAACTCATCAAATGAAATTTTATTTGTCACATGCGCCGAATCCAACAGGTGTAGACCTTACCGTGAAATGCTTTACTTACAGCCCTTAACCAACAATGCAGTTAAGAAAATAGAGTTAAGAAATTATTTACTAAATAAACTAAAGTAATACTTTTTTTTTTTAATGACACAATCAAATAACAATGAGGCTACATGCAGGGGGTACCGGTACTGAGTCAATGTGTGGGGGTACAGGTTAGTCGAGGTAATTAGTACATGTAAGTAGTGGTAAAGTGACATCTAATCTACAGTTTAATTGCTCTCATTCTCACCATCTCCCATAAATTGTTGTGAATCTTTGCCTGTAGGCCTCATATATGGCTTCAGTGTGTGAAAAGGTTAGACAATTCTTACTATTCCAATAAAGACTTGTGCTGCAAGTAACTCTTCACATTTAAGAAAACATAAAATCGTAACCTTTTTTTTTTCTCTTTTTTTCAGGGTCATACATTGGAATATTCCCCATATTATGAGGTGACATAAAACAACATCAGAAGTCATGATTATTATATTTCCTCATATTAGTTTATTATGTACAGTACAGCTGTAATAGGTTGGCTACGGTGTAGATATGGTGTACATGATAGCAAGCTTGGCAACGGTGTAGATATGGTGTACATGATAGCAAGCTCGGCTACGGTGTAGATATGGTGTACATGACAGCAAGCTTGGCAACGGTGTAGATATGGTGTACATGATAGCAAGCTTGGCAGCAGTGTAGATATGGTGTACATGATAGCAAGCTTGGCAGCAGCTCCTGAAAGTGATGCTAACGCTGCCTTCATGCCATTAGCCAATCAGCGTTCTCAACAAGTTCAAAGCACATGTATGCACACAACTTGTTGCTCCCAATTTACAAGTACTATTTTTTTTCCCCCCACTTGTTATAAACGCTGCATAAATACAGGTGGGCGTGGCATAAAACTGCTATATGGGCGTGGCAGGGGGGGGCGTGGTCACTCCTCCCAGGGACTCATGTCAGTGTCGATGGCAACACAGTTGTAGGCAGCGTAGCGCAGCTTGTCCTCACACACCTTCGCACTGCAGGGACACACAAAGTTAGGGAATTAGATACTTAAGTATTATTTCATGAGCTTGAAAATGTGGAAGGTAGCTCAGTGGTTAAGAGCGTTGTGCCAGTAACCGAAAGGTTCTAATCCCCGAGCCGACTAGGTGAAAAATCTGTCGATGTGCCCTTGAGCAAGGCACTTAACCCTAATTGCTCCTGTAAGTCGCTCTGGATAAGAGCGTCTGCTAAATGACTAAAATGTCAAATGTAAATCTTACTAGAGAATGTGGAAGAGTACAACCATTGAAATTTCACATCTACAATCTCCGTTATATGGAACCAAAGATAAGTGGGTTATCTTGTAAGTATTCTGATAACAGTAGAGAGAATTGCCATTAGGACTCACCTGGGGTAGTTGGGTAGATACAGAGTACTGGAGCAGGTGGAGGACTGTGGCAATGCATCTGTAGTCTCAGAGCTGGAGGGAAGGGAAACCAAAGACGTTGTAAAAAGTGCAGTAACATCAGCCATAAGAGCAGTATCTTATAAGGTATTTGCTTTGGGATTGTGTCCTACTAATGTACGTTATAATGCGTCCTACTAACGTACGTTATAATGCGTCCTACTAACGTACATTATAATGCGTCCTACTAACGTACGTTATAATGCATCCTACTAACGTACGTTATAATGCGTCCTACTAACGTACGTTATAATGCGTCCTACTAACGTACGTTATAATGCGTCCTACTAACGTACGTTATAATGCGTCCTACTAACGTACGTTATAATGCTTCCTACTAACGTACGTTATAATGCGTCCTACTAACGTACGTTATAATGCGTCCTACTAACGTACGTTATAATGCGTCCTACTAACGTACGTTATAATGCGTCCTACTAACATACGTTATAATGCGTCCTACTAACGTACGTTATAATGCATCCTACTAACGTACGTTATAATGCGTCCTACTAACGTACGTTATAATGCATCCTACTAACGTACGTTATAATGCGTCCTACTAACGTACGTTATAATGCGTCCTACTAACGTACGTTATAATGCGTCCTACTAACGTACGTTATAATGCATCCTACTAACGTACGTTATAATGCATCCTACTAACGTACGTTATAATGCGTCCTACTAACGTACATTATAATGCGTCCTACTAACGTACGTTATAATGCATCCTACTAACGTACATTATAATGCGTCCTACTAACGTACGCTATAATGCGTCCTACTAACGTACGTTATAATGCATCCTACTAACGTACATTATAATGCGTCCTACTAACGTACGTTATAATGCGTCCTACTAACGTACATTATAATGCATCCTACTAACGTACGTTATAATGTGCCCTACTAACGTACATTATAATGCGTCCTACTAACGTACGTTATAATGCGTCCTACTAACGTACGTTATAATGTGCCCTACTAACGTACGTTATAATGCGTCCTACTAACGTACGTTATAATGCGTCCTACTAGCGTACATTATAATGCGTCCTACTAACGTACCCTTGTTTGTCAGGGAAGATGTTAAATGGGCAGCAGAACGACTCTCCCCGTCACAAACCTCAGAATCGGCTCTGCGGTCCTTTGAAGACACAAGAGCGATGCATAAGCGTCACTGTAGTGATAGAAAAGAGAATTGAAGGACAGAAGACGGAAAGGCAAGAGAGAGAGAGAAAGAAGACTGTTTTAACTGACCGTTAAGTGAGTTCATGAAGCTTCCACAGTACTTGTACCCTACATCAGTTGCGTCCAAGTCCCTCTATCGAGCTGTAGGGAGAGAAAAGAACCTACTTGTAATATCAAACCTACTGTGGTGAAGAAAGACAGGGGTAAATCCACATAATGTGGTGAGAGACAAACTATGGGTAATATCCACCTAATGGAGGGAGAGAAACAGATGGTTAATACCACCTATGTGGTGAGAGACAGAACCTATGGTGTTATATCAACCTAAGTGGGAGAGAGACAACACTATGGTTTAATATCAACCTAATGTGGTGAGAGACAGCACTATGGGTTAATATCCACCTAATGTGGTGAGAGACAACACTATGGGTTAATATCCACCTAATGTGGTGAGAGACAACACTATGGGTTAATATCAACCTAATGTGGTGAGAGACAACACTATGGGTTAATATCAACCTAATGTGGTGAGAGACAACACTATGGGTTAATATCAACCTAATGTGGTGAGAGACAACACTATGGGTTAATATCAACCTAATGTGGTGAGAGACAACACTATGGGTTAATATCAACCTAATGTGGTGAGAGACAACACTATGGGTTAATATCAACCTAATGTGGTGAGAGACAACACTATGGGTTAATATCCACCTAATGTGGTGAGAGACAACACTATGGGTTAATATCAACCTAATGTGGTGAGAGACAACACTATGGTTTAATATCAACCTAATGTGGTGAGAGACAACACTATGGGTTAATATCAACCTAATGTGGTGAGAGACAACACTATGGGTTAATATCAACCTAATGTGGTGAGAGACAACACTATGGGTTAATATCAACCTAATGTGGTGAGAGACAACACTATGGGTTAATATCAACCTAATGTGGTGAGAGACAACACTATGGGTTAATATCCACCTAATGTGGTGAGAGACAACACTATGGGTTAATATCCACCTAATGTGGTGAGAGACAACACTATGGTTTAATATCCACCTAATGTGGTGAGAGACAACACTATGGGTTAATATCCACCTAATGTGGTGAGAGACAACACTATGGGTTAATATCCACCTAATGTGGTGAGAGACAACACTATGGGTTAATATCCACCTAATGTGGCGAGGGGACTACAGCCTGGCCCTCTTCAACCACATTCAAGGTCCGTCTTGATTACTCACTGAGTCGTTTGAGTGCCTCCACGGTGATCTCTGGGTCTCCGCAAACTCTCTTCTCCACTTCCTGCCAGGTCAGCAGATCCAACACTGCCTGGGGGACGACCTTCACCAGCCCCGCCTGCATGGCACAGATCTGGAACACAAAACACACACTTTATGGTGAGACACCATCTCCCTCCACACAAGCCAACCCAGACCTGCATGAGGGCAGGTCAACACTCTCATCAGCCCCCCCCGTCCCACCTGGTGTCTGCTCTCCTCCAGACGTGCCTTCTGTACCAGGTGAATGAACTCCCTGCGGTCACGGTACCGTACCACCTGGTTGCTGCCCCCTGGTAGCAGCTCTACCAGTCTGCCGTCACTCAGCAAGGTGGTGTACACCAGCTCCTCTCCGAACTTAAAGTCAAATGTCTCCTGGTCCATTACCTCCATCGCCTCCAGCAGCTTCACCTATAGAGACACAGAGGAGAGTAACATAGGACAGAAGCAGTGAGCAAACTAACTAACATTTTAAAAACAGACGTCGGGAATCACATTATCCAATGCATTGTCAGAATATTGCAACTAGTGATTGTATCGCCTATAGAACAGATACAAGCTTCAGGCTGAAAAGGTTTGTGGACTGAATCCTAACTTGAGTTCTGCCATTTTCACAGTTTTATCTTTCACCTCAATGTATGATTTACCCTCAAGTCAGTTATGATGTTGTGAAAGTTGTAGACGTGACAACAGGGCAGGGCAGTGCTCACCAGGACAGAGTCAACAGCAGGGAAGTCTTTGCTCCAGCTCACTGCCTCCCCTGTTAACTGTTTCCACACCAGACCAGGCAGAGCCAGCACCAGGAAGTCCTTTCCTCGGAGAGCGGCTCCCATCAGCTGTCCGATCCACTCAAACTTGTGGAACTCTCTGCAGGACGGGTTGGGAACATAGTGGTCTCTGGCCTCACCGGTTCCCTGGGAGCAGAAAACTAACTGAAGATCATGTACTACTAACCTTCCCCTGGTTGTACTACTAACCTTCCCCTGGTTTCACTATTAGCCTTCCCCTGGTTGTAATACTAGCCTTCCCCTGGTTGTAATACTAGCCTTCCCCTGGTTGTAATACTAGCCTTCCCCTGGTTGTAATACTAGCCTTCCCCTGGTTTCACTACTAGCCTTCCCCTGGTTTCACTACTAGCCTTCCCCTGGTTGTAACTAGCCTTCCCCTGGTTGTACTACTAACCTTCCCCTGGTTGTACTACTAACCTTCCCCTGGTTGTAATACTAGCCTTCCCCTGGTTGTAATACTAGCCTTCCCCTGGTTGTAACTAACCTTCCCCTGGTTGTAATACTAGCCTTCCCCTGGTTTCACTACTAGCCTTCCCCTGGTTGTACTACTAACCTTCCCCTGGTGGTCCTACTAGCCTTCCCCTGGTTGTAATACTAGCCTTCCCCTGGTTTCACTACTAGCCTTCCCCTGGTTTCACTACTAGCCTTCCCCTGGTTTCACTACTAGCCTTCCCCTGGTTTCACTACTAGCCTTCCCCTGGTTTCACTACTAGCCTTCCCCTGGTTTCACTACTAGCCTTCCCCTGGTTGTAATACTAGCCTTCCCCTGGTTGTACTACTAACCTTCCCCTGGTTTCACTACTAGCCTTCCCCTGGTTTCACTACTAGCCTTCCCCTGGTTTCACTACTAGCCTTCCCCTGGTTTCACTACTAGCCTTCCCCTGGTTTCACTACTAGCCTTCCCCTGGTTTCACTACTAGCCTTCCCCTGGTTTCACTACTAGCCTTCCCCTGGTTTCACTACTAACCTTCCCCTGGTTGTACTACTAACCTTCCCCTGGTTGTAATACTAGCCTTCCCCTGGTTTCACTACTAGCCTTCCCCTGGTTGTACTACTAACCTTCCCCTGGTTGTACTACTAACCTTCCCCTGGTTGTACTACTAACCTTCCCCTGGTTGTACTACTAACCTTCCCCTGGTTGTAATACTAGCCTTCCCCTGGTTTCACTACTAACCTTCCCCTGGTTTCACTACTAACCTTCCCCTGGTTGTACTACTAGCCTTCCCCTGGTTTCACTACTAGCCTTCCCCTGGTTTCACTACTAGCCTTCCCCTGGTTTCACTACTAGCCTTCCCCTGGTTGTAATACTAGCCTTCCCCTGGTTTCACTACTAGCCTTCCCCTGGTTTCACTACTAGCCTTCCCATGGTTTCACTACTAGCCTTCCCCTGGTTGTAATACTAGCCTTCCCATGGTTTCACTACTAGCCTTCCCCTGGTTTCACTACTAGCCTTCCCCTGGTTGTACTACTAACCTTCCCCTGGTTGTACTACTAACCTTCCCCTGGTTGTACTACTAACCTTCCCCTGGTGGTCCTACTAACCTTCCCCTGGTTGTAATACTAGCCTTCCCCTGGTTTCACTACTAACCTTCCCCTGGTTTCACTACTAACCTTCCCCTGGTTGTACTACTAGCCTTCCCCTGGTTTCACTACTAGCCTTCCCCTGGTTTCACTACTAGCCTTCCCCTGGTTTCACTACTAGCCTTCCCCTGGTTTCACTACTAGCCTTCCCCTGGTTTCACTACTAGCCTTCCCCTGGTTTCACTACTAACCTTCCCCTGGTTGTACTACTAACCTTCCCCTGGTTGTACTACTAGCCTTCCCCTGGTTGTACTACTAGCCTTCCCCTGGTTTCACTACTAGCCTTCCCCTGGTTGTACTACTAGCCTTCCCCTGGTTTCACTACTAGCCTTCCCCTGGTTTCACTACTAGCCTTCCCCTGGTTTCACTACTAGCCTTCCCCTGGTTGTAACTAACCTTCCCCTTGTTGTAATATTAGCCTTCCCCTGGTTGTAACTAATCTTCCCCTGGTTGTACTACTAGCCTTCCCCTGGTTGTACTACTAACCTTCCCCTGGTTGTAATACTAGCCTTCCCCTGGTTTCACTACTAACATTCCCCTGGTTGTATTACTAGCATTCCCCTGGTTTCACTACTAGCCTTCCCCTGGTTGTACTACTAGCCTTCCCCTGGTTTCACTACTAGCCTTCCCCTGGTTGTAACTAAACTTCCCCTGGTTTCACTACTAACCTTCCCCTGGTTGTACTACTAGCCTTCCCCTGGTTGTAACCAACCTTCCCCTGGTTGTAACTAACCTTCCCCTGGTTTCACTACTAGCCTTCCCCTGGTTGTAACTAACCTTCCCCTGGTTTCACTACTAGCCTTCCCCTGGTTGTAACTAACCTTCCCCTGGTTGTACTACTAGCCTTCCCCTGGTTGTACTACTAACCTTCCCCTGGTTTCACTACTAGCCTTCCCCTGGTTGTACTACTAACCTTCCCCTGGTTTCACTACTAGCCTTCCCCTGGTTGTAACTAACCTTCCCCTGGTTTCACTACTAGCCTTCCCCTGGTTGTACTACTAACCTTCCCCTGGTTTCACTACTAGCCTTCCCCTGGTTGTACTACTAACCTTCCCCTGGTTGTAATACTAGCCTTCCCCTGGTTGTAACTAAACTTCCCCTGGTTGTACTACTAGCCTTCCCCTGGTTGTACTACTAACCTTCCCCTGGTTGTACTACTAGCCTTCCCCTGGTTGTAACTAACCTTCCCCTGGTTGTACTACTAGCCTTCCCCTGGTTGTACTACTAGCCTTCCCCTGGTTGTACTACTAACCTTCCCCTGGTTTCACTACTAACATTCCCCTGGTTGTAACTAGCCTTCCCCTGGTTGTAATACTAGCCTTCCCCTGGTTGTAATACTAGCCTTCCCCTGGTTGTAACTAACCTTCCCCTGGTTGTAACTAACCTTCCCCTGGTTGTAACTAACCTTCCCCTGGTTTCACTACTAGACTTCCCCTGGTTTCAGTTGACACCACTTCTTCCAAATAACAAACATTTAGCAAAGTACGAAAACAATGAATCCTCATATTTCAGTATTGAACCCACATGGGTAAAAATGGGTCTGGGCTGGAGAGAACAGTAGTAGGATTCATTACCTGGTTAGTTGTAAAGGAGGTAGAGGTTAGGGTTAGTTACCTGGTTAGTTGTAAAGGAGGTAGAGGTTAGGGTTAGTTACCTGGTTAGTTGTAAAGAAGGCAGAGGTTAGGGTTAGTTACCTGGTTAGTTGTAAAGGAGGTAGAGGTTAGGGTTAGTTACCTGGTTAGATGTCCTGGTGAAGAAGGGTAAGGGCAGAAGACATTCAGCTGAACTGGGACACAGCTCTTCAGACATGTCTGCCAGACTGTCTCTAAAGCCACCGCCTTGGTCAATGATGCCCTCCGCTATGAATTTACACTCCCACCACTGGTCATAGCGCGCTGGCCATCTGATCAACAACAACATCATATTCATTGCTGGTTTATTTTCCTGACAACTTGGAAGTCTGTTAGGTAAGGCTTATTATAAAAAGAGAAATCATTCTAGAATGCGGGAATGGGCAAAAAGCGAGAGAAAACAGTCCTTAGCAAAACTCAAATTTCGGTCACCGACTCTGGGTTAACCACCAATCTATACACTATTCCCCAAACACAACAACACCCCACCCACCCCATACAAACCACACACAAAACACCCCCCAACCACAAACACATCTCACCCCCACCAAACCCAACACAACACTCATCTCCCCCCCCACCCACCCCCACCCACCACACCCCCACACCACACCACCACCCCCCCCACACTCCAACCCCACCCCACACCCCCCCCACCACCCACCCCCCACCCACCCCCCCCCACCCCCCCCCCCCTCTCCCCCCCCCCCCCCCACCCCCCCCTCTCCCCCCCCCCCCTCCCCCCCCCCCCCCCCCTCCTCCCCCCCACCCCCCCCCCCCCCCCCCCCCCCCCCCCCCACCCCCCCCCCCCCACCCCCCCCCCCCCCCCCCCCCCCCCCCCCCCACCTCTCCACCCCTCCACCCCCCCCTAGCACCCACCCATCTCCCCACACACCACCCCCACCATCTCCCCAACACCCCCTCATCCCCCCACCAACACACACCATCTCCCCCACCCACACACCACCCACACTCATCCCCCCCAACCCACACCCACACACACTCACCCCCACACACACACACACACCACCCCACCACACCCACACCACACTCATCTCCCCACACCACCACACCACCCCCAACCACACACACACACTCATCTCCCCACCACACACACACACCCCACCATCTCCCCCAACACCCCCACCACACACACATCCCCACACCACACACACCACACCCCACCACACCACCCACACACACATCTCCCCAACACACACACCACACACCATCTCCCCCCCCACACCACTCATCTCCCCACAACCACCCTCATCCCCCAACACACACACACACACTCTCCCCCACCACCACATCTCCCCCCACACCACACTCCCCCCAACCACCACCTCCCCCCACACACACACTCATCTCCCCCACACACACACATCTCCCCCACCACACCCCACCATCTCCCCAACACCCACACCTCTCCCCACACACCACTCATCCCCCAACACACTCCATCTCCCCAACACCACACCATCTCCCCAACCCACACTCATCTCCCCAACACACACCATCTCCCCCCCACACACTCATCTCCCCAACACACACACCATCTCCCCCCCCACACACCCATCTCCCCCCAACACACTCATCTCCCCCCACACCACTCATCTCCCCCCACACACTCATCTCCCCCACACACTCATCTCCCCCACACACTCATCTCCCCCAACCCCACAACACCATCTCCCCAACACCACTCTCTCCAACCCCACACACTCATCTCTCCCCACACACTCATCTCCCCCCCACACTCATCTCCCCAACACACACTCATCTCCCCAACACACTCATCTCCCCAACACACTCATCTCCCCAACACACACATCCCCCCAACACACACCCCCACACTCATCTCCCCCACACACATCTCCCACACACACTCATCTCCCCCACACACTCATCTCCCCACACACACATCTCCCCCCACACACTCATCTCCCCAACACACCATCTCCCCACACACACATCTCACCTCCCCCCACACACTCATCTCCCCACCACACTCATCTCCCCAACCACACTCATCTCCCCACACACTCATCTCCCCAACACACTCACTTCCCCAACACACTCATCTCCCCCAACACACCCACACACCTCATCTCCCCCACACACACATCTCCCCAACACACACTCATCTCCCCCACACTCACCCAACACATCTCCCCACACACTCACTCTCCCCCACACACACATCTCCCCACACACTCATCTCCCCCACACCACACATCTCCCCCACACACTCATCTCCCCCACACCACATCTCCCCACACACTCATCTCCCCCACACACTCATCTCCCCCACACACTCATCTCCCCACCCCCACACACTCACCCCACACACACACTCATCTCCCAACCCACTCATCTCCCCAACACCACCATCTCCCAACACCACACACACCATCTCCCCAACACACATCTCCCCCAACCCACTCATCTCCCCAACACACTCATCTCCCCACACACTCATCTCCCCACCACACGTCATCCCCCAACACACACCACACACTCATCTCCCCAACACACACATCTCCCCCACACACTCATCTCCCCAACACACTCATCTCCCCACACACTCATCTCCCCAACACACTCATCTCCCCAACACACACATCTCCCCAACACACTCATCTCCCCAACACACTCATCTCCCCAACACCACTCATCTCCCCAACACACTCATCTCCCCAACACACTCATCTCCCCCAATACACACATCTCCCCCCACACACTCATCTCCCCCACCACACTCATCTCCCCCACACACTCATCTCCCCAACACACTCATCTCCCCAACACACTCATCTCCCCAACACACACATCTCCCCCACACACACACATCTCCCCCACACACTCATCTCCCCCACACACTCATCTCCCCACACACTCATCTCCCCACACACACATCTCCCCCACACACACCATCTCCCCCAACACACTCATCTCCCCACACACACAATCTCCCCAACCACCCCACTCCCCAACACACCATCTCCCCAACACACTCATCTCCCCAACACACACATCTCCCCCACACACCCACACCATCTCCCCAACACACTCATCTCCCCAACCACCTCATCTCCCCAACACACTCATCTCCCCAACACACTCATCTCCCCACACACTCATCTCCCCAACACACTCATCTCCCCAACACACTCATCTCCCCAACACACTCATCTCCCCAACACACCTCATCTCCCCAACACACTCATCTCCCCACACACTCATCTCCCCATCATCCCCCAACACACTCATCTCCCCAACACACTCATCTCCCCAACACACTCATCTCCCCCAACACACTCATCTCCCCCCAACACACTCATCTCCCCCACACACTCATCTCCCCCACACACTCATCTCCCCAACACACACATCTCCCCCACCACCATCTCCCCAACAACTCATCTCCCCAATACACCATCTCCCCCAAAGACACACATCTCCCCCACACACTCATCTCCCCCACACACTCATCTCCCCCACACCTCATCTCCCCCAACACCTCATCTCCCCAACCCACTCATCTCCCCAACACACTCATCTCCCCAAACCACACATCTCCCCCACACACTCATCTCCCCCACACACTCATCTCCCCCACACACTCATCTCCCCAACACACTCATCTCCCCAACACACTCATCTCCCCAACACACTCATCCCCCCCACTACCTGTGTGAAGACAGCGTTCTTAGCAGTAGGATCCAGTGACGGGTTGTCTCTGTGCTCCATGGCCAGTCTGCGGTTGATATAGAGCCGGGGCATGAAGTTGGGCTTGCTGGTCTCCGAGTCCTTCAGACACTGTGTGATCAGGGCCGAGCGACGCTTCGACAGCAGCAGGAACGGCTTGATACTCTACAGCACAAAAAGGTCAATGTACTTAAATGTAATAATGCGCTTAAAAAAAAAAAAAAAAGGGATGCTGCGAGATTTCGGTCGTTTATCTACTTACCCAGAGACAGACGAACTCATGGATACTATCTGTATGTCTCTGCGTGCAGTTTGGGGATGATTGAAGTTAGCGTGTCGTTAGCTTAGCGCAATGGCTGGAAGTCTCCCGGTACAGTAGCCAGCTCCTCTCAAAGGCAGGGGAATAAACTATCTAACTACTCCTAAACTGGGTGGTTGGCCATTTATAGTCTTAAAATGCTATACATAGTAATCAACATTTTATACATTTGTTAATTTCACTGATAATCATAAGAAACCAGATTCTATCCACATCCTCATTCTGTCCCAGTTGTCGAAGAGATCGCAACGTTGTAGCCGTCTCATGGCGATGCCTGTGCGTAAATGGGACAGATACAACACTATGATCTCTATTCAAAATGGTCTCCATGAGTTCATCTGACTCTTGGGTAAGTAAATAAACGAAATCTCGCAGAATCCCTTTAAAGATGATGAAATTAAAAAGGGAGGACACCAGCAGATTACAGACATGACATTCGTGGGGAAGTCCCTGTCGACCAGTGGTCTCCAACCCTGGTCCTGGAGAGCTAGTGCAGGGTGAGCAGGCTTTTGTTCCAGCCCAGCACTAGACGTACCTTGATGTGGTTGAAGGTGGCCAGGCTGTAGTCCCAGGCTGGAACCAGGTGGGGCAGGAGACTGTCCAGCAGAGAGATGAACCTGAGGACACACACAAGCTGAGTCACAACACCAACTGCCCAGACAGGGTTAGAGCCCCACATCCAGACATCCATTGGCCAGACAGGGCTAGAGCCCCACATCCAGACAGGGTTAGAGCCCCACATCCAGACAGGGCTAGAGCCCCACATCCAGACAGGGTTAGAGCCCCACATCCAGACAGGGCTAGAGCACCACATCCAGACAGGGCTAGAGCCCCACATCCAGACAGGGCTAGAGCACCACATCCAGACAGGGCTAGAGCCCCACATCCAGACATCCATTGGCCAGACAGGGTTAGAGCCCCACATCCAGACAGGGCTAGAGCCCCACATCCAGACAGGGCTGGAGCCCCACATCCAGACAGGGCTAGAGCCCCACATCCAGACAGGGCTAGAGCCCCACATCCAGACAGGGCTAGAGCCCCACATCCAGACAGGGTTAGAGCCCCACATCCAGACAGGGCTAGAGCACCACATCCAGACAGGGCTAGAGCCCCACATCCAGACAGGGCTAGAGCACCACATCCAGACAGGGCTAGAGCACCACATCCAGACAGGGCTAGAGCCCCACATCCAGACAGGGCTAGAGCACCACATCCAGACATCCATTGGCCAGACAGGGTTAGAGCCCCACATCCAGACAGGGCTAGAGCCCCACATCCAGACAGGGCTAGAGCCCCACATCCAGACAGGGCTAGAGCCCCACATCCAGACAGGGCTAGAGCCCCACATCCAGACATCCATTGGCCAGACAGGGCTAGAGCCCCACATCCAGACATCCATTGGCCAGACAGGGCTAGAGCACCACATCCAGACAGGGCTAGAGCCCCACATCCAGACAGGGCTAGAGCCCCACATCCAGACAGGGCTAGAGCCCCACATCCAGACAGGGCTAGAGCCCCACATCCAGACAGGGCTAGAGCCCCACATCCAGACATCCATTGGCCAGACAGGGCTAGAGCCCCACATCCAGACAGGGCTAGAGCCCCACATCCAGACAGGGCTAGAGCACCACATCCAGACAGGGCTAGAGCCCCACACCCAGACATCCATTGGCCAGACAGGGCTAGAGCCCCACACCCAGACATCCATTGGCCAGACAGGGCTAGAGCCCCACATCCAGACATCCATTGGCCAGACAGGGTTAGAGCCCCACATCCAGACAGGGCTAGAGCCCCACATCCAGACAGGGCTAGAGCCCCACATCCAGACAGGGCTAGAGCCCCACATCCAGACAGGGCTAGAGCCCCACATCCAGACAGGGCTAGAGCCCCACATCCAGACAGGGCTAGAGCCCCACATCCAGACAGGGCTAGAGCCCCACATCCAGACAGGGCTAGAGCCCCACATCCAGACAGGGCTAGAGCACCACATCCAGACAGGGCTAGAGCACCACATCCAGACAGGGCTAGAGCCCCACATCCAGACATCCATTGGCCAGACAGGGCTAGAGCCCCACATCCAGACAGGGCTAGAGCACCACATCCAGACAGGGCTAGAGCCCCACATCCAGACAGGGCTAGAGCCCCACATCCAGACAGGGCTAGAGCCCCACATCCAGACAGGGCTAGAGCCCCACATCCAGACATCCATTGGCCAGACAGGGCTAGAGCCCCACATCCAGACAGGGCTAGAGCCCCACATCCAGACAGGGCTAGAGCACCACATCCAGACAGGGCTAGAGCCCCACACCCAGACATCCATTGGCCAGACAGGGCTAGAGCCCCACATCCAGACAGGGCTAGAGCCCCACATCCAGACAGGGCTAGAGCCCCACATCCAGACATCCATTGGCCAGACAGGGCTAGAGCCCCACACCCAGACATCCATTGGCCAGACAGGGCTAGAGCCCCACATCCAGACATCCATTGGCCAGACAGGGTTAGAGCCCCACATCCAGACAGGGCTAGAGCCCCACATCCAGACAGGGCTAGAGCACCACATCCAGACATCCATTGGCCAGACAGGGTTAGAGCCCCACATCCAGACAGGGCTAGAGCCCCACATCCAGACAGGGTTAGAGCACCACATCCAGACAGGGCTAGAGCCCCACATCCAGACAGGGCTAGAGCCCCACATCCAGACAGGGCTAGAGCCCCACATCCAGACAGGGCTAGAGCCCCACATCCAGACATCCATTGGCCAGACAGGGCTAGAGCCCCACATCCAGACATCCATTGGCCAGACAGGGCTAGAGCCCCACATCCAGACATCCATTGGCCAGACAGGGTTAGAGCACCACATCCAGACAGGGCTAGAGCACCACATCCAGACAGGGCTAGAGCCCCACATCCAGACAGGGCTAGAGCCCCACATCCAGACAGGGCTAGAGCCCCACATCCAGACAGGGTTAGAACACCACATCCAGACATCCATTGGCCAGACAGGGCTAGAGCCCCACATCCAGACAGGGCTAGAGCACCACATCCAGACAGGGCTAGAGCCCCACATCCAGACAGGGCTAGAGCCCCACATCCAGACAGGGCTAGAGCACCACATCCAGACAGGGCTAGAGCACCACATCCAGACAGGGCTAGAGCCCCACATCCAGACAGGGCTAGAGCCCCACATCCAGACATCCATTGGCCAGACAGGGCTAGAGCCCCACATCCAGACATCCATTGGCCAGACAGGGATAGAGCCCCACATCCAGACATCCATTGGCCAGACAGGGCTAGAGCCCCACATCCAGACATCCATTGGCCAGACAGGGTTAGAGCCCCACATCCAGACAGGGCTAGAGCACCACATCCAGACATCCATTGGCCAGACAGGGTTAGAGCCCCACATCCAGACAGGGCTAGAGCACCACATCCAGACAGGGCTAGAGCCCCACATCCAGACAGGGCTAGAGCCCCACATCCAGACAGGGCTAGAGCCCCACATCCAGACAGGGTTAGAGCACCACATCCAGACATCCATTGGCCAGACAGGGTTAGAGCCCCACATCCAGACAGGGCTAGAGCCCCACATCCAGACAGGGCTAGATCCCCACATCCAGACAGGGTTAGAGCCCCACATCCAGACAGGGTTAGAGCCCCACATCCAGACATCCATTGGCCAGACAGGGTTAGAGCCCCACATCCAGACATCCATTGGCCAGACAGGGCTAGAGCCCCACATCCAGACATCCATTGGCCAGACAGGGTTAGAGCCTCACATCCAGACAGGGTTAGAGCCCCACATCCAGACAGGGCTAGAGCCCCACATCCAGACAGGGCTAGAGCACCACATCCAGACAGGGCTAGAGCCCCACATCCAGACAGGGCTAGAGCACCACATCCAGACATCCATTGGCCAGACAGGGCTGGAGCCCCACATCCAGACATCCATTGGCCAGACAGGGCTAGAGCACCACATCCAGACAGGGCTAGAGCACCACATCCAGACAGGGCTAGAGCCCCACATCCAGACAGGGCTAGAGCACCACATCCAGACAGGGCTAGAGCACCACATCCAGACATCCATTGGCCAGACAGGGCTAGAGCCCCACATCCAGACAGGGCTAGAGCCCCACATCCAGACAGGGCTAGAGCCCCACATCCAGACAGGGCTAGAGCCCCACATCCAGACAGGGCTAGAGCACCACATCCAGACAGGGCTAGAGCACCACATCCAGACAGGGCTAGAGCCCCACATCCAGACAGGGCTAGAGCCCCACATCCAGACAGGGCTAGAGCACCACATCCAGACATCCATTGGCCAGACAGGGTTAGAGCCCCACATCCAGACAGGGTTAGAGCCCCACATCCAGACAGGGCTAGAGCCCCACATCCAGACATCCATTGGCCAGACAGGGTTAGAGCACCACATCCAGACATCCATTGGCCAGACAGGGCTAGAGCCCCACATCCAGACATCCATTGGCCAGACAGGGTTAGAGCCCCACATCCAGACAGGGCTAGAGCACCACATCCAGACAGGGCTAGAGCACCACATCCAGACAGGGCTAGAGCCCCACATCCAGACAGGGCTAGAGCACCACATCCAGACATCCATTGGCCAGACAGGGCTAGAGCACCACATCCAGACAGGGCTAGAGCCCCACATCCAGACATCCATTGGCCAGACAGGGCTAGAGCACCACATCCAGACATCCATTGGCCAGACAGGGCTAGAGCCCCACATCCAGACAGGGCTAGAGCACCACATCCAGACAGGGCTAGAGCCCCACATCCAGACATCCATTGGCCAGACAGGGCTAGAGCACCACATCCAGACATCCATTGGCCAGACAGGGTTAGAGCCCCACATCCAGACAGGGCTAGAGCCCCACATCCAGACAGGGCTAGAGCCCCACATCCAGACAGGGCTAGAGCCCCACATCCAGACAGGGCTAGAGCCCCACATCCAGACAGGGCTAGAGCACCACATCCAGACAGGGCTAGAGCCCCACATCCAGACAGGGCTAGAGCCCCACATCCAGACATCCATTGGCCAGACAGGGCTAGAGCCCCACACCCAGACATCCATTGGCCAGACAGGGTTAGAGCACCACATCCAGACATCCATTGGCCAGACAGGGCTAGAGCCCCACATCCAGACATCCATTGACCAGCATTCATCTTGGTAGTATAGGAGTATGGTCAGGAGCTTTTCATGATGATCACTACAAGCTCCAGGGTCTTACCTCTGTATAACCAGGGTAGCCTCCAGGTAGGTTAGGGTCTTACCTCTGTATAACCAGGGTACCCTCCAGGTAGGTTAGGGTCTTACCTCTGTATAACCAGGGTACCCTCCAGGTAGGTTAGGGTCTTACCTCTGTATAACCAGGGTACCCTCCTGGTAGGTTAGGGTCTTACCTCTGTATAACCAGGGTACCCTCCTGGTAGGTTAGGGTCTTACCTCTGTATAACCAGGGTACCCTCCAGGTAGGTTAGGGTCTTACCTCTGTATAACCAGGGTACCCTCCTGGTAGGGTAGGGTCTTACCTCTGTATAACCAGGGTAGCCTCCAGGTAGGTTAGGGTCTTACCTCTGTATAACCAGGGTCCCTCCTGGTAGGGTAGGGTCTTACCTCTGTATAACCAGGGTACCCTCCAGGTAGGTTAGGGTCTTACCTGTGTATAACCAGGGTACCCTCCTGGTAGGTTAGGGTCTTACCTCTGGATAACCAGGGTACCCTCCAGGTAGGTTAGGGTCTTACCTCTGTATAACCAGGGTACCCTCCAGGTAGGTTAGGGTCTTACCTCTGTATAACCAGGGTAGCCTCCAGGTAGGTTAGGGTCTTACCTCTGTATAACCAGGGTACCCTCCAGGTAGGTTAGGGTCTTACCTCTGTATAACCAGGGTACCCTCCAGGTAGGTTAGGGTCTTACCTCTGTATAACCAGGGTAGCCTCCAGGTAGGTTAGGGTCTTACCTCTGTATAACCAGGGTACCCTCCTGGTAGGTTAGGTTAGGGTCTTACCTCTGTATAACCAGGGTACCCTCCTGGTAGGGTAAGGTCTTACCTCTGTATAACCAGGGTACCCTCCAGGTAGGTAAGGTCTTACCTCTGTATAACCAGGGTACCCTCCAGGTAGGTTAGGGTCTTACCTCTGTATAACCAGGGTACCCTCCTGGTAGGTTAGGGTCTTACCTCTGTATAACCAGGGTAGCCTCCAGGTAGGTTAGGGTCTTACCTCTGTATAACCAGGGTCCCTCCTGGTAGGGTAGGATCTTACCTCTGTATAACCAGGGTACCCTCCAGGTAGGTTAGGGTCTTACCTCTGTATAACCAGGGTACCCTCCAGGTAGGTTAGGGTCTTACCTCTGTATAACCAGGGTACCCTCCAGGTAGGTTAGGGTCTTACCTCTGTATAACCAGGGCTCTGCGGTAGAGGACATCAGGCAGGGTACCCTCCAGTCGAGGATAGCGCACCAGGTTAGGAGACTGAAACACGTCAGCGTTGAGCCCCAGGTCTCTCTCACATGATGACTTGATCTTCAGCCCTCTGATCCGAACGTCTATCCCCTCGTCTGAGAGACGGGGGGAGAAAAGCCAGAGACAGGTTAGGAAGGGGTTGAGTCCATTTCAAATCATTTTCAATTAGGATTATTATTTTTATGTTTTAATGAAGGGACATTGAGGTCCTGACATTTTACATTATAGTCATTTAGCAGACGCTCTTATCCAGAGCGACTTACAGTTAGTGAGTGCATACATTTTCATACTGCGCCCCCCCCCGTGGGAAACGAACCCACAACCCTGGCGTTGCAAGCGCCATGCTCTACCAACTGAGCTACAGGGGACTACACGAGTGAATAAGGCTGGGATTGATACAGTATTTAATTCAAGGCACAGTTCTCTATTTCCAAAGTCCAAGCTGATATCTACAGTGTGCCAACAAAGACACTGAGCCACTCCCAGATGAGATCACAGGGTAAATCTAAGATTCTTCTAGTTTACCAGCTGGACAGAATTTGATGTCAGTCATGATCAGAGCCCTGTGTTCATAAAGCATCTCAAAGTAAGAGCACTGTTTTAAGAGCAGGTCTCCTCCCCTGTCCATATGTTATTCATTAAACGGATCCTACACCAGCACTCCTACTGAGATGCATTGCCAATACAGGCCCGGAAATGATTAGTACAGTTGTGTGTATATTAATTATTCAATGTGTAGCCACCATTCTCACCCCTGCACTCCTCGATGCGGACCTCTATGACTGGCAGGTGGGCCGTCATGTCTTCCAGCACACACACCTCACCAATCAGATTACTGAGGGAGAGAGAAATAAACAACGTTACAGGTTTATGTAGCTCCTCCTCCGTTTCTGTTAGCTCTGCTGAATACTGCCCTGTTAGCTCTGCCGAATACTGCCCTGTTAGCTCTGCCGAATACTGCCCTGTTCGCTCTGCCGAATACTGCCCTGTTCGCTCTGCTGAATACTGCCCTGTTCGCTCTGCTGAATACTGCCCTGTTCGCTCTGCTGAATACTGCCCTGTTCGCTCTGCTGAATACTGCCCTGTTCGCTCTGCCGAATACTGCCCTGTTCGCTCTGCCGAATACTGCCCTGTTCGCTCTGCCGAATACTGCCCTGTTCGCTCTGCCGAATACTGCCCTGTTCGCTCTGCCGAATACTGCCCTGTTCGCTCTGCCGAATACTGCCCTGTTCGCTCTGCCGAATACTGCCCTGTTCGCTCTGCTGAATACTGCCCTGTTCGCTCTGCCGAATACTGCCCTGTTCGCTCTGCCGAATACTGCCCTGTTCGCTCTGCCGAATACTGCCCTGTTAGCTCTGCCGAATACTGCCCTGTTCGCTCTGCTGAATACTGCCCTGTTCGCTCTGCTGAATACTGCCCTGTTCGCTCTGCTGAATACTGCCCTGTTCGCTCTGCTGAATACTGCCCTGTTCGCTCTGCTGAAGACTGCCCTGGTGTTCTTTGGAGTAACCTACTCGTCTATGGTGACGTCACTGAGCTTCTTCAGATTGTCTCCTTCTCCTCCGAACACCGTCACTCTCTTAGGCATGTAGTTGTCATCGGTTGAGTCCACCGTCAAGATCAGCTTACTGACGGACAAGACAAAAAACAATAAAAATTAACGTTTATTCGCATGTCTTCCTAAGACTTCAAGTATTAAAGCCACCGGCTGACCAAAGTCATGGTTTTGGTGGGCTAGTGGTCATCTGATGATGTACTGTCACCAAGGGAGTACCCCCAGGTTCCATACTAAGCCCCACTCTATTTTCCATCTGTCACCAAGGGAGTACCCCCAGGTTCCATACTAAGCCCCACTCTATTTTCCATCTGTCACCAAGGGAGTACCCCCAGGTTCCATACTAAGCCCCACACTATTCTCCATCTGTCACCAAGGGAGTACCCCCAGGTTCCATACTAAGCCCCACACTATTCTCCATCTGTCACCAAGGGAGTACCCCCAGGTTCCATACTAAGCCCCACTCTATTCTCCACCTGTCACCAAGGGAGTACCCCCAGGTTCCATACTAAGCCCCACTCTATTTTCCATCTGTCACCAAGGGAGTACCCCCAGGTTCCATACTAAGCCCCACTCTATTCTCCACCTGTCACCAAGGGAGTACCCCCAGGTTCCATACTAAGCCCCACACTATTCTCCACCTGTCACCAAGGGAGTACCCCCAGGTTCCATACTAAGCCCCACACTATTCTCCACCTGTCACCAAGGGAGTACCCCCAGGTTCCATACTAAGCCCCACTCTATTTTCCATCTGTCACCAAAGGAGTACCCCCAGGTTCCATACTAAGCCCCACTCTATTCTCCATCTGTCACCAAGGGAGTACCCCCAGGTTCCATACTAAGCCCCACTCTATTCTCCATCTGTCACCAAGGGAGTACCCCCAGGTTCCATACTAAGCCCCACACTATTCTCCATCTACATAAATCGCAGGTTGGCCATGGCAGTGACAGGACTGTATGACAGTAAGCCTTACTTGACTACGGTGCCTCTCTTCATGTGCAGTCTGATCCAGTGTTGTCCCTGCATCCCATCACTCTCCCAGTATGTGTCTGTGTCTCCATCTGTCAGACAACCTGCCCCACCACTAGGGTCCTCCTGAAATACACACAGTCAAAATACACACACAGTCAAAATACACACACAGTCAAGACACACACAGTCAAAATACACACACACACACACGTGTTAATTTTGTCACCTATTTTAGTTTCAAAATACCTTTTAGTCTTGTTCCCATTTTAGTCATTTCATCCTTAGTTATCAGTCGACTAAAACTCTGGACAATTTTTGTCTAGTTTTAGTCAGCCATTTTAGTCAGCCATTTTAGTCAGCCATTTTAGTCAGTGCATAAATGACTAAAGGGCAAATAACTGGTTTCCTTGAAAAGGGGAGAATGTGACTTTCCAACAATGTCAGTATTACTGTACTCTACTGTAGTATTACTGTACTATACTGTAGTATTACTGTACTCCTATAGGCATTACTGTACTATACTGTAGTATTACTGTAATATACTGTAGTGTTACTGTACTATACTGTAGTATTACTGTACTCCTATAGGCATTACTGTACTATACTGTAGTATTACTGTACTCCTATAGGCATTACTGTACTATACTGTAGTATTACTGTACTATACTGTAGTATTACTGTACTCTACTGTAGTATTACTGTACTCTACTGTAGTATTACTGTACTCTACTGTAGTATTACTGTACTCCTATAGGTATTACTGTAGTATTACTGTACTCTACTGTAGTATTACTGTACTCTACTGTAGTATTACTGTACTCCTATAGGTATTACTGTACTATACTGTAGTATTACTGTACTATACTGTAGTATTACTGTACTCTAATGTAGTATTACTGTACTCCTATAGGTATTACTGTACTCTACTGTAGTATTACTGTACTCTACTGTAGTATTACTGTACTCCTATAGGTATTACTGTAGTATTACTGTACTCTACTGTAGTATTACTGTACTCCTATAGGTATTACTGTACTATACTGTAGTATTACTGTACTATAATGTAGTATTACTGTACTATACTGTAGTATTACTGCACTATACTGTAGTATTACTGTACTCCTATAGGTATTACTGTACTCCTAATATTCAACAAATACCATTAGTTTTTCCCATAGGAAAAAAATTAACTGCAACTCGCATTTGCGGACCGTGGTGTGACCGTGGCAACACAGATTAATGAATAACAGCGCACATGGGAAAATAGAGCTTCTGATGTGATCAAAGCAACAATAGCCTACATGGAAGTAAGAGAGAGAGAGAGTAAAGGTTGAGGTTAGTTACAAGTCCAGTGTCCTGGCTTCACATCAGTTCAAAAGATTGACTGAAGAGACCGCCTGGGAGCAGTGTGGGAGAAGCTGGGCAGATCAGCCAATCAGACCGCCTGGGAGCAGTGTGGGAGAAGCCAGGCAGATCAGCCAATCAGACCGCCTGGGAGCAGTGTGGGAGAAGCTGGGCAGATCAGCCAATCAGACCGCCTGGGAGCAGTGTGGGAGAAGCTGGGCAGATCAGCCAATCAGACCGCCTGGGAGCAGTGTGGGAGAAGCCAGGCAGATCAGCCAATCAGATCGCCTGGGAGCAGTGTGGGAGAAGCTGGGCAGATCAGCCAATCAGATCGCCTGGGAGCAGTGTGGGAGAAGCTGGGCAGATCAGCCAATCAGATCGCCTGGGAGCAGTGTGGGAGAAGCTGGGCAGATCAGCTCAATCAGACCGCCTGGGAGCAGTGTGGGAGGAGCTGGGCAGATCAGCCAATCAGATCGCACAGCTGAAAGATGTTAATTCTGGCAATGAGAGGATTGCATGAAATATTCTGATGAAGGATGAAGGAGCTTCATGTCAAATTAAATTTAAATTTTTAAATTTTAGTCATTTAGCAGACGCTCCTATCCAGAGCGACTTACAGTTAGTGAGTGCATACATTATTTTAAATTACATTTTTCATACTGGCCCCCCGTGGGAATCGAACCCACAACCCTGGCGTTGCAAACGCCATGCTCTACCAACTGAGCTACATCCCTGCCAGCCATTCCCTCCCCTACCCTGGACGATGCTGGGCCAATTGTGCGCCGCCCCATGAGTCTCCCGGTCGCGGCCGGCTACGACAGAGCCTGGATTCGAACCAGGATCTCTAGTGGCACAGCTAGCACTGCGATGCAGTGCCTTAGACCACTGCGCCACTCAGGAGGTACATAAATAAATAAATAAAATAAAAAAAGTCCATTAGTCTCGCATGGAATTCTCATCTCCTCACATTTCCGTCGACTAAAATGAAAAGTAATTTGAATAGTTATCGTTTTATTCCAGGGCATCTCGTCTCGTTACCGTTCTAGTTTTAGTCAGGAAAAAAGGTTGATGACAAAATTAATACTGACACACACACACAGTTAAGACACACACACTCAATACATACATACATACATACACAGCCAGAAACACACACTACTCACTGAGCAGGAGGACACGTCGATGCTGGTGACACACAGCCAGAAACACACACTACTCACTGAGCAGGAGGACACGTCGATGCTGGTGACACACAGCCAGAAACACACACTACTCACTGAGCAGGAGGACACGTCGATGCTGGTGACACACAGCCAGAAACACACACTACTCACTGAGCAGGAGGACACGTCGATGCTGGTGACACACTACTCACTGAGCAGGAGGACACGTCGATGCTGGTGACACACAGCCAGAAACACACACTACTCACTGAGCAGGAGGACACGTCGATGCTGGTGACACACAGCCAGAAACACACACTACTCACTGAGCAGGAGGACACGTCGATGCTGGTGACACACAGCCAGAAACACACACTACTCACTGAGCAGGAGGACACGTCGATGCTGGTGACACACAGCCAGAAACACACACTACTCACTGAGCAGGAGGACACGTCGATGCTGGTGACACACAGCCAGAAACACACACTACTCACTGAGCAGGAGGACACGTCGATGCTGGTGACACACAGCCAGAAACACACACTACTCACTGAGCAGGAGGACACGTCGATGCTGGTGACACACAGCCAGAAACACACACTACTCACTGAGCAGGAGGACACGTCGATGCTGGTGACACACTACTCACTGAGCAGGAGGACACGTCGATGCTGGTAACACACAGCCAGAAACACACACTACTCACTGAGCAGGAGGACACGTCGATGCTGGTGACACACAGCCAGAAACACACACTACTCACTGAGCAGGAGGACACGTCGATGCTGGTGACACACAGCCAGAAACACACACTACTCACTGAGCAGGAGGACACGTCGATGCTGGTGACACACAGCCAGAAACACACACTACTCACTGAGCAGGAGGACACGTTGATGCTGGTGACACACAGCCAGAAACACACACTACTCACTGAGCAGGAGGACACGTCGATGCTGGTGACACACAGCCAGAAACACACACTACTCACTGAGCAGGAGGACACGTCGATGCTGGTAACACACAGCCAGAAACACACACTACTCACTGAGCAGGAGGACACGTCGATGCTGGTAACACACAGCCAGAAACACACACTACTCACTGAGCAGGAGGACACGTCGATGCTGGTGACACACAGCCAGAAACACACACTACTCACTGAGCAGGAGGACACGTCGATGCTGGTAACACACTGTTTGACACTTCCCAGGTTCTCATCTTCCTTTCCTATGTGGTCGTAGAAGTAGTGCACCAGATCCTCATCACATTCAAACGTCCAGGTGGGAGGGACATATCTGGCAAAACAGAGAAGCGAACAGTAGTAGTGTTGGTTAGACCAGACTACCTTAATGTCATTATCAACTTCATGGGAGTTTTTACAGAAAGTGTCCAAACTGCACAGCATGTCTGTAGGTCATCAGAGCCTGTTATCACCCATCACCGATGGACCTGAGCTAGACCGTTGGCTAGCTTCGCTTCCAAACGCACTCACCTGAGCTTCTGGACGGCCGCTTCGTCACACTCTGCGACCTTGGGTTTGGAGCCGATGTGAAGAGAACTCTCTACATCCACCACCTGTTCCCACCTGACAGAGAGCAGACCATATTAAAACCGCTGAGCTAAAGCTTATACCTTAGTTCGGGCGGCACCATTACTAGTCTTCAGGTCTCGAGCAAAGTTACTCACCACTACTCACCACCTCTGTTACACACACACACACACACACACACACACACCTACCTGTCGCAGGGTTTGTGGTCATATCCGAAGAGCTGCTGGTGTCTGCCGAGTGTCTCAGGTGATTCTACTGGTACCAGTCGGTCTCCTCCCTCTGTGTGTTTACAGACCAGGACCCAACCCTCCTCACACTCCTGACCCACACGGTGCTCTTCCAACTGATCCTATAACACACACATAAAGACACACAAGCAGACACACACGAGAGTTAAAAGGACAACTGCCTTGATAAGAGTGTCCGCTAAATGATGTAAATGTGTACTGAGTAAAGGCGATCGGTCCTGCGACAAGAATGGAGCCATGACTTCACGAACCAGGAAGTGTGTAAAGCAATGAATCATTCAACTCTTTCTTACCTTGTTGATTTTGACCCAAAGGCCGTGGCTGTTGCAATACTCTTCCCCTGTTGTCCGAATACATGTCCCTTTCTTCGGTTCGATGTTGCACTTGCATAGCTTCTTGCTTTGGAGAGCTTGATGGGGGCTCTCCCACACTGAAACGAGGGTCTTACCGACGGATGAGTTGGCGACGGACGTACTGGACGAGGCGGTTGAATTCGACGACGAATCTTTGCAGATTTTATAACAGACCTCTTTTGGGACGAAACATAGGCACTCGGGCACAGGTTCGCTCTTCCTGAAACTTTCTATGCACTTGTTCAGAAACCGAATCCGTCCCAGTAGAACGTGAGGGTTGTCGCCCGGTGACATCTCTGTTTTTTTTAAAGCTAGCTAACTCAAGCTAACCGGGTACAACACAGTCCGCCGCAGGGCTAGTTAACTAGCTAGCTAACTCAAGCTAGCCGGGCACAACACAGTCCGTCGCAGGGCTAGTTAACTAGCTAGCTAACTCAAGCTAACCGGGCACAACACAGTCCGTCGCAGGGCTAGTTAACTAGCTAGCTATGCGTCACAGTCAACACCACAGTTGAACGGTGGACGTCACCTGACATTTCAGTTTTTCGGTTCGGTTCTCCCTTTGTTGCCCCCCGGGGATTGTCGTGGAAAACCTGCTCTATACTGAACAAACAAGACAACACAAAAGCTATTTATCCACTGCCCGTTTCAGACGAAACAGAACATTCTCATCCGGTGCCACCGCTTCAGCTAACTGACAGCTAGCGGACACTTTCCGTAGCTCTCACCGGTAGCACTTAACCGGATCTAAAGGGCGAAACGCCCATTAAGTTATGTTACGGTGTCGGGTTCCGTCTGCAAGTAGCTTAGCGAGCTAGCTTACACCAAAGACTGTTACACTGCTAAAGCATCGGCAGAAAGGTAGCCTTCTATTTAGCTGGCTAGCTAGCCATGTGTTTACATTCCATAGCTATCCAAACATTTTAACTTTTTATTTGACCTTTATTTTAACAGGGAGTCCAATTGAGACCAAGGAAGCCCTGCATCTTACAATTACACAACAAATTGCATAGGAAATACACCAGCAAATAAAGACTATATAAAAAAAAACATGAAAAACAATCACACCCTTTTCCTTACGTCAGTCTTGGCAGATTGGTTCACTACCAACAGTATGTTCATTTATGTAGATACACTAATTTTGTTCGTGAAATCAATCTGCAATGTATATCGATGGTATCAGGCTTCAAAGTTAAAAGTCATGTTTTTTATAGCCATAGGCTGTACACAAAGGTATTATAAAAAAGTATCAGGCATGTTTTACAAAATCATTTTTTTAATAACCAGGATTACAAACAATCTAAACATGATTGTAGAATACATTTCACACAATCATTGACACACAGGTGCATGGAAAATGCATGAATTATCCCAAAATAAACAAAAGCCATAGACAAGTTGCCCAGATCTTTCAACAAGAGCTCTGCTCATTGTCATTGGCTGGGATGAGTTCCACAGCCACCTTGAACTGCCCCTCCCCTCGTTCTGTCTGCAGATGAGACACCTTCAGCTGTCTGTCTCTCACTAAAGACACATCCTCCACCTTCCTGTCCATTTCACCACACTCATCCTTATAGATGAAGGGTATGGAGACGTCCTGACCAGAGTCGAACCTGCCCAATGAATCAATGAATGAACAAACAAATCAATTGATGAATTAACAAACAAACAAATGAATGAATCACAGTCATTGTAGGCTACCTTATGTCATATGTTGAGCCCATGAAGGTAGGTCTGAGGGTCTCAGCAGCGGTAGAATAGGGGACAGAGAAGTATCTCTCCACCCAGAACTTGTCCTTCTCCGTCGGGGGCAGGTTCTGGTGCATGTCATCCACAGCCAGCATGGATACCTGGGAAGAAACGTGAGGGGAGAAAGATAGCAAAACAAACAATGAATGACAGCAGATCTATCACTGATCTGTCACTGGATGAAACACCACCAGTCCATAAGGTCAGACAATACTTTATAGGCGATGGTAAATGATTGGTTCAGGAAAGTGAACTGAGATAAAAAATGGGAAATACAGCAAAAGGTACAAAATCTCAGATAATTACTTTATCACTCAGCAGTCGATGGTAATTGATGGCCTATATTCAAGTGAAGTGAGATAAACACACCTGAATATTTCGGTCAATTAGTTGGTTGGTTTCAAAGTCGTCATCGTCCTCTCCGAAGGGATTGATGATCAGCTCCCCCACCTAGAGAACAGAGAGAAGGGAGGACAGTCAAGGACTTTAGCATAAGCAAGAACGAAAACCAATAAATCAATTAACCAACCAATCAATATCCAATCAATCAATTAACCAACCAAACAATATACAATCAACCAAATAACCAACCAATCAATATCCAATCAATCAATTAACCAACCAAACAATATACAATCAACCAAATAACCAACCAATCAATATCCAATCAATCCGTTAATCAATATCCAATCAGCCAACTCATCAATATCCAATCAACCAATAAGGAGCTCACCTTGAGCCAGCCTGCATAGAAGAAGAACTGAAGCAGGGTGAAAACGGGGACATACATGTCCAGCTGGTGACCTTTATACCCCTTCTCAGGGTTCAGGAACTGTCGACCAATCAGACAGAAGCCGAAGAACGAGTACACAGCCAGGGTCACTACCTTGTGTGGAGGGACGTAATGACATCATCATATTATGACATCATCATATTATGCAGGAAGCAGTTTGGTATTGTACATTTACATTTTAGTAATTTAGCAGACGCTCTTATCCAGAGCGACTTACAGTTAGTGAGTGCATACATAATTTTTTTTTTTTTTTCATACTGGCCCCCCGTGGGAATCGAACCCACAACACTGGCGTTGCAAACGCCATGCTCTACCAACTGAGCTACATCCCTGCCGGCCATTCCCTCCCCTACCCTGGACGACGCTGGGCCAATTGTGCGCCGCCCCATGGGTCTCCCGGTCGCGGCCAGCTTATACAGGCAGCAGTTTGATATTATACAGGCAGCAGTTTGGTATTTTACAGCAGTAATTTGGGCCTCAGCAGTTTATAGTAATATCTTTTGTTTTTACAGCTGAAGATACTTTCACCACATGTAACAGAGGTGGTTAAGTGAACCAAGCTTGCCTGATAAATAAACTTGCCTGAGACCTGAAGACTTGTGTTAGCTCCCTAAGCTAATGCCTAGACTTTAGCTCAGTGGGCTAACAGTCTTGGGGTTCGAACACAGTCTGTCACATTTACCTGAGTGTAGACTATCAATCAATCAATCAATTTTATTTTATATAGCCCTTCTTACATCAGCTAATATCTCGAAGTGCTGTACAGAAACCCAGCCTAAAACCCCAAACAGCTAGTAATGCAGGTGTAGAAGCACGGTGGCTAGGAAAAACTCCCTAGAAAGGCGAAAACCTAGGAAGAAACCTAGAGAGGAACCAGGCTATGAGGGGTGGCCAGTCCTCTTCTGGCTGTGCCGGGTGAAGATTATAACAGAACCATGCCAAGATGTTCAAAAATGTTCATAAGTGACAAGCATGGTCAAATAATAATCAGGAATAAATCTCAGTTGGCTTTTCATAGCCGATCATTAAGAGTTGAAAACAGCAGGTCTGGGACAGGTAGGGGTTCCATAACCGCAGGCAGAACAGTTGAAACTGGAATAGCAGCAAGGCCAGGCGGACTGGGGACAGACTAGAGGTTTAGGGGTTAGGGTTAGAGGTTAGGGGTCAGAGGTTAGGGTTACCTGAGTGTAGACTAGAGGTTTAGGGGTTAGGGTTAGGGGTTAGGGTTAGGGGTTAGGGTTAGAGGTTAGGGTTAGGGGTTAGGGTTACCTGAGTGTAGACTAGAGGTTTAGGGGTTAGGGTTAGAGGTTAGGGGTCAGAGGTTAGGGTTACCTGAGTGTAGACTAGAGGTTTAGGGGTTAGGGGTTAGGGTTAGAGGTTAGGGTTACCTGAGTGTAGACTAGAGGTTTAGGGGTTAGGGTTAGAGGTTAGGGTTACCTGAGTGTAGACTAGAGGTTTAGGGGTTAGGGTTAGAGGTTAGGGGTCAGAGGTTAGGGTTACCTGAGTGTAGACTAGAGGTTTAGGGGTTAGGGTTAGAGGTTAGGGGTCAGAGGTTAGGGTTACCTGAGTGTAGACTAGAGGTTTAGGGGTTAGGGGTTAGGGTTAGAGGTTAGGGTTACCTGAGTGTAGACTAGAGGTTTAGGGGTTAGGGTTAGAGGTTAGGGGTCAGAGGTTAGGGTTACCTGAGTGTAGACTAGAGGTTTAGGGGTTAGGGTTAGGGGTTAGGGTTACCTGAGTGTAGACTAGAGGTTTAGGGGTTAGGGTCAGAGGTTAGGGTTACCTGAGTGTAGACTAGAGGTTTAGGGGTTAGGGTTAGAGGTTAGGGGTCAGAGGTTAGGGTTACCTGAGTGTAGACTAGAGGTTTAGGGGTTAGGGTCAGAGGTTAGGGTTACCTGAGTGTAGACTAGAGGTTTAGGGGTTAGGGTTAGAGGTTAGGGGTTAGAGGTTAGGGTTACCTGAGTGTAGACTAGAGGTTTAGGGGTTAGGGTTAGAGGTTAGGGGTTAGAGGTTAGGGTTACCTGAGTGTAGACTAGAGGTTTAGGGGTTAGGGTTAGAGGTTAGGGGTTAGAGGTTAGGGTTACCTGAGTGTAGACTAGAGGTTTAGGGGTTAGGGTTAGGGGTTAGGGTTACCTGAGTGTAGACTAGAGGTTTAGGGGTTAGGGTTGGGGTTAGGGTTAGGGGTTAGGGTTAGAGGTTAGGGTTACCTGAGTGTAGACTAGAGGTTTAGGGGTTAGGGTTAGAGGTTAGGGGTTAGAGGTTAGGGTTACCTGAGTGTAGACTAGAGGTTTAGGGTTAGGGTTAGAGGTTAGGGGTTAGAGGTTAGGGTTACCTGAGTGTAGACTAGAGGTTTAGGGGTTAGGGTTAGGGGTTAGGGTTACCTGAGTGTAGACTAGAGGTTTAGGGGTTAGGGTTAGAGGTTAGGGGTCAGAGGTTAGGGTTACCTGAGTGTAGACTAGAGGTTTAGGGGTTAGGGTTAGAGGTTAGGGTTACCTGAGTGTAGACTAGAGGTTTAGGGGTTAGGGTTAGAGGTTAGGGGTCAGAGGTCAGGGTTACCTGAGTGTAGACTAGAGGGATGCTGATCCAGTCATAGTGAAACAGCAGGCTGCACTTGCCTCTGTAGTTATTCAGCTCCTAGGGACAGGAGGACAAATAGAGCTTCATAGTTAGTGCCAGGAGTTTTACCTGACCATGTAAACTGTACAGAAAGAACTCCTAGCCGTTATGTCATGATGTATACTATTGTCTTTAAGTAAAGTCAGTCAAATGAAATCCTGGGGATGGAGAAGGGCTCGTGTGAGCTATGGGGGTCTCTGGGGCTATGGGGGTCTCTGGGGCTATGGGGGTCTCTGGGGCTATGGGGGTCTCTGGGGCTATGGGGGTCTCTGGGGCTATGGGGGTCTCTGGGGCTATGGGGGTCTCTGGGGCTATGGGGGTCTCTGGGGCTATGGGGGTCTCTGGGGCTATGGGGGTCTCTGGGGCTATGGGGGTCTCTGGAGCTATGGGGGTCTCTGGGGCTATGTATCCCCCATCTGCGTATTTGCGGTCAATTCACAGGTTCAGTATTCAGAGAAAAGCACTCACATCCATGAGCAGTCGTAGAGCGATGTCGTCTCTGACCCGGCCCTCCTGTCTGGCCTGTGATGCCAGGTTAGTGAACCACGTCAGAGGCATCCAGTACTTGTTGAAGTCAGAGTACAGACCATCCAGCTGTTTATGCTCCAGTGGCGTCATAAACCCTGCACCAGGAGATAAGAGGTGGTGTCATAAACCCTGCACCAGGAGATAAGAGGTGGTGTCATAAACCCTGCACCAGGAGATAAAAGGTGGTGTCATGAACCCTGCACCAGGAGATAAGAGGTGGTGTCATAAACCCTGCACCAGGAGATAAGAGGTGGTGTCATAAACCCTGCACCAGGAGATAAGAGGTGGTGTCATAAACCCTGCACCAGGAGATAAGAGGTGGTGTCATAAACCCTGCACCAGGAGATAAGAGGTGGTGTCATAAACCCTGCACCAGGAGATAAGAGGTGGTGTCATAAACCCTGCAGAGGAATGTAACTCAGGCAGCACAAATCTGATCTCTTTTGACCAATCAGATCTTTCGACAATAATTGGGCAAAAAATCAGAATTGGGCTGCCTGTGTAAATGCAGCCATAGAGGTGTGTAGCCTATGCATTAACCCTGGGACATGAAAGGACATGAAAGGACATGAAAGGACATGAAAGGACATGAAAGGACATGAAAGGACATGAAAGGACATGCACGGACGCACACACACATCCTCACCTGCATCCACCACGTGCTCCAGGGTTGGGAACCGTCTGCGTACTCTAATGCTGATGGATCGCAGGATGAGGACAGAGGAGAGGTTAACATATCTCATGAGTGTGCGTCGGAGCAGCCGGCCCCTCTCGTCGACCCCGTGGACGTTCCCTGACACCACCATCATCAGGTTATCAGGCAGGGGGAAGCTGGTGTATTGACCCCACCAACGGTTGAACGCCAGGGTTACATAGAAACCTTACAGGAAAATATGACGTGCACATCAAATCAAAAGTTTCTTCGCCACGTACACAGTTTATCAGGTGTTACTACAGGTGCAGCGAAATGCTTGTATTGCCAGCTCCCTCAACAGTAAAAAATAAAAATGTGAACATGTCCAAGTAACATCTTTCACTGAGGCAGATGGCTTGTTCATAACAAAACCCTTTGATATTTGCCAACCACTTGAATAACGTTTTTGTTGACAAGATTAGCAAATTTAGGCATGATATGCGAACAACAAATGCTGAGCCTTCATATTCATGCATAATGGACCAAATAATGAAAGACTAGCACTGTCGCTCTGGATAAGAGCGTCTGCTAAATGACTAAAATGCAAACGCAAATGTAGTTTTGAGTTCCACAAAGTGGGTGTGGAAGAGGTGAAAAAATTGTTGCTATCTATAAATAAGGACAAACCACCTGGTACCGACAACCTGGATGGTAAATTGCTGAGGTTGGTAGCGGAATACATTGTGACTCCTGTTTGACACATCTTCAATTTAAGCCTAGAAGACGGTGTGTGCCCTCAGACATGGAGGGAGGTAAAGGTCATTCAGCTACCCAAGAATAGCAGAGCACCCTTTAATGGTTCAAACAGCCAACCAATCAGCCTGTTACTTAGCAAACCTTTGAAAAAAATGCAAAGTTATTTTACAGAAAACAAATTAACAACAGACTTGCAGCATGTTTATAGGGAAGGGCACTCAACAAGCTTGGCACTGACAAGAATGACTGATGATTGGCTGAAAGAAATTGATAGTAAGAAGATTGTGGGAGCTGTTTTGTTAGACTTCAGTGCAGCTTTTGATGTCATTGATCCTAACCTATTGCTGAAAAAACATAGGTGTTATGGATTTGCATCCTCTGCCTTATCATGGATTGAGAGGTACTTATCTAATAGATCACAGAGGGTATTTCGTTAATGGAAGCCTCTCTCATGCAAATTCAGTTGAGTGTGGTGTACCGCAGGGCAGCCGGCTAGGGACATTATTGTTTTCTGTTTTAACAAATGACCTTCCACTGACCTTGAATAAAGCCTGTGTGTCTATGTACGCTGATGACTCAACAGGATACACGTCGACTGCAACAGTAAAATAAATAACTGACACCCTTAACATAGAGCTCCAGGCAGTTTTAGGATGAGTAACTAGCAATAGGCTGGTGCTAAATATCTCAAAAACTAAAAGCATAATTTTTGGGACAAATCACTCGCTCAACTCTAAACCTCGTTTAGATCTATTATTGAATAATGTGGCTATTGAGCAAGTTGAAGAGACTATACTGCTGGGTGTAACCCTAGATAGCAAGTTTTCATGGTCAAAACATATAGACTCAATGTTTGCTAAAATGGGAAGAGGTTAGGGTTAGGGTCCATGACAGGGCGTTGCTCTGCCTTCTTGACATCTCAGTCGACCAGACAGGTCCTACAGGCCCTAGTTTTGTTGCACCTGGACAAGATGTATGGTCATGTGTGGTAAAGAAGGACACAGGTAAATTGCACTTGGTCCAGAACAAAGCAGCATGTATCGCACTTAGATGTACACGGAGGGAAAGTGTCAGTAACATGCATGTCAGTCTCTCCTGGCTCAAAGTTGAGGAGAGATTGACTGCATCACTATTGGTCTTTGTGCGAGGTGTTGAAGGTACCAAACTGTCTGTTCAAGCGGTTGGCACACAGTTCAGACACTCATTGGTACAACACAAGACATGCAACCAGAGGTCTCTTCCCAGTCCCCAGGTCCAGAACAGAGGCTGGGAAACACACAGTATTAAATAGAGCCATGACTACATGGACCTCTCTGCCACCCCAGGTAACCCAAACTAGCAATAAAAACAGTTTAAAAAAAACAGATAAAAGAACACTTTACTGCACAAAGGGATCTGTGAAGAGACACAGCCATTTTATATATATTGTATTGTAATTTGCACTGTATTATGTATTAGACCTAGATAGTGTGTGTATGTACTGATATGTAGGCTATGTGTGACGTTTTAAATGTATGTATTTCCGTTCTTGACTAATAATGTTCTGTACTATGAATTATGTCATGTTTCATGTGGACCCCAGGAAGTGTAGCTGATGCATTTGCAGCATCTAATGGGGATCCTAATAAATACCAAATAATCAGGAAGGACATTAGGGTTAGCAGGGTTAGGGTTAGGGTTAGGGTTAGGGTTAGGGTTAGGGTTAGGGTTAGCAGGGTTAGGGTTAGGTTTAGGGTTAGCAGGGTTAGGGTTAGCAGGGTTAGGGTTAGCAGGGTTAGGGTTAGGGTTAGTGTTAGGGTTAGCAGGGTTAGGGTTAGCAGGGTTAGGGTTAGGGTTAGGGTTAGGGTTAGCAGGGTTAGGGTTAGGGTTAGGGTTAGGGTTAGGGTTAGGGTTAGCAAGGTTAGGGTTAGCAGGGTTAGGGTTAGCAGGGTTAGGGTTAGGGTTAGCAGGGTTAGGGTTAGCAGGGTTAGGGTTAGGGTTAGGGTTAGCAGGGTTAGGGTTAGGGTTAGGGTTAGCAGGGTTAGGGTTAGCAGGGTTAGGGTTAGCAGGGTTAGGGTTAGCAGGGTTAGGGTTAGCAGGCGCTGAAGATCAAATAATATGTTCAGCAAAAGGTTAAAAAGTGTCTGCTCCCTCCACTCTGTGAGTGAGTCTTTAGTCTCTGATCCCTCAAGTCTTTTAAAAAGCGTTTTCTTACATAGAATCCTGTGACTTTGTTTACTTGTGAAAAGACATATGTGACTTCTACAATCAGAGGGTACTGTGATACTCAGCATCCTGAGGGCTGATGAACCAGAGGGTACTGTGATACTCAGCATCCCGAGGGCTGATGAATCAGAGGGTACTGTGATACTCAGCATCCCGAGGGCTGATGAATCAGAGGGTACTGTGATACTCAGCATCCCGAGGGCTGATGAATCAGAGGGTACTGTGATACTCAGCATCCTGAGGGCTGATGAATCAGAGGGTACTGTGATACTCAGCATCCTGAGGGCTGATGAATCAGAGGGTACTGTGATACTCAGCATCCCGAGGGCTGATGAATCAGAGGGTACTGTGATACTCAGCATCCCGAGGGCTGATGAATCAGAGGGTACTGTGATACTCAGCATCCCGAGGGCTGATGAATCAGAGGGTACTGTGATACTCAGCATCCTGAGGGCTGATGAATCAGAGGGTACTGTGATACTCAGCATCCCGAGGGCTGATGAATCAGAGGGGGCCAATGTAACCACCTGCAAGACTTCAGTATGCATCGGCTGCATGTCCTTCCGTCTTGCGCACGTGCCTTAGGTCAGAAGCAAACACATCTTGATTTCCCACGTTTTGAAATCAGTTTAATAATACTTTTCTGTGGATATTTTGTCTCAAATTTCGACCCACCGAAGGACCAACCCCACGGACAATCGGCAGAGTAAATTCAAATTAAAATTTAATTTAACGCTCGTGACAGACAAGGGATTTGTAGTTTTTTGTCTTTGTAAATGTGCCTACATGAGGGGCAGAAAGGGTTACATCAGGTGACTTTGACTGGTCTGTAGTCTACCTGCTCAGGTGCTCATCAGTAACTATAACACACAGTACTATAGCATTTTCATAGTATTCTCATAGAGATAATTAGGATTTTAATTTGAACCAGTTTGCTACAGCAGGAAAATAATCCTGCAGCAACAGGAAATGTGAATTATTATGTGGATTATAATTAATGAACATTTTTGTAGGGGTTGATACATTCTTCGTAAGGGAAAATCAAGTCTGAAATGTCAAAGTGGAAATTACAAACGTCAGAAGCCTTTTTAAACCTCAAATAGACTACACGTTTGAAACGTTTGAAAGTTATCCTGCAACAGGGTGATCAAATTAAGATCCTACATCTGTATCAACAAAAGCATGACAAATCCCACCTAAGAGATTTTGATTTACCCAGTACAAAGGACATTGAGATAAAGTTGACTTACCCAGCACAAAGGACATTGGAATAAAGTTGGCATACTGGTCACAGTAAAGGGCTACATTTTCAAACAACAACTGTTGTTTCTCAGTGAGGAAGAACCTGCAAAGGAATGATATTGAAAACATAATATATCCAATCCAAGATAACTCATTATTGATACCAAACATACATCTTTTTCTGGTAGTAACTCCCTCCATTAAAGGTCCTGAACAGTTTTTCATGAAATTGGATACTATTTGGATGAAACCAGATCAAAGTAGGACTACCAAATAATGAAAAAATGACTGTTGCTTCTACATTGATCAAGTTCGATCATAAAGTTGCTGGTCCCCTTCCCAATGTCAAACACTTGGATTCAGGAGGCGGGATGGAGGCGGGATTATTAACGGTAATGTCTTATTCTCTTACTTAATTTAATGAAGTACCGCCTTATAACCAACATGGCAGAAGGCGTGTTCGCAGAGCGGCGTGGTTTACATAGGTAGGTAGCTAGTCTACAGGTTCCAGAATTTGACTGCAGCATCTCAGCAAAGAGGTTTCCCCTATTCATCTAAGGCAAATATACAGTGCATTCGGAAAGTATTCAGACCCATTGACTTTTTCCACATTTTGTTACGTTACAGCCTTATTCTAAAATTGATTAAATAAATGTTTTTCTTCATCAATCTACACACAATACCCCATAATGACAAAGCAAAAACAGGTTTTTAGACATTTTTGCACATGTATAAAACCCTGAGATGTTTCTACAACTTGATTGGAGTCCACCTGTGGTAAATTCTATTGATTGGACATGATTTGGAAAGGCACACACCTGTCTATATAAGGTCCCACAGTTGACAGTGCATGTGAGAGCAAAAACCAAGCCATGAGGTTGAAGGAATTGTCCGTAGAGCTCCGTGACAGGATTGTGTCGAGGCACAGATCTGGGGAAGGGTACCAAAACATTTCTGCAGCATTGAAGGTCCCCAAGAACACAGTGGCCTCCATCATTCTTAAATGGAAGAAGTTTGGAACCACCAAGACTCTTCCTAGAGCTGGATGCCCGGCCAAACTGATCAATCGGGGGAGAAGGGCCTTGGTCAGGGAGGTGACCAAGAACCCGATGCTCACTCTGACAGAGCTCCAGAGTTCCTCTGTGGAGATGGGAGAACCTTCCAGAAGGACAACCATCTCTGCAGCACTCCACCAATCAGGCTTTTATGACGGAAGCCACTCCTCAGTAAAAGGCACATGACAGCCCGCTTGGAGTTTGCCAAAAGGCAACCAAAGGACTCTCAGACCATGAGAAACAAGATTCTCTGGTCTGATGAATTCAAGATTGAACTCTTTGGCCTGAATGCCAAGCGTCACATCTGGAGGAAACCTGGCACCATCCCTACGGTGAAGTATGGTGGTGGCAGCATCATGCTGTGGGGATGTTTTTCAGCGGCAGGGACTGGGAGACTAGTCAGGATCGAGGCAAAGATGAACGGAGCAAAGTACAGAGAGATCCTTGATGAAAACCTGCTCCAGAGCGCTCAGGACCTCAGACTGGGGCGAAGGTTCACCTTCCAACAGGACAACGACTCTAAGCACACAGCCAAGACAACGCAGGAGTGGCTTCAGGACAAGTCTCTGAACGTCCTTGAGTGGCCCAGCCAGAGCCTGGACTTAAACCCAATCAAACATCTCTAGAGAGATCTACAGAGAAGAATGGGAGAAACTCCCCAAATACAGGTGTGCCAAGCTTGTAGCGTCATACCCAAGAAGACTCAAGGCTGTAATCGCTGCCAAAGGTGCTTCAACAAAGTACTGAGTAAAGGGTCTGAATACTTATGTAAATAAGCTATTTCAGTTTTTTCAATTTTTATAAATTTGCAAACATTTCTAAAAACCTGTTGTTGCTTTGTCATAATGGGGTATTGTGTGTAGATTGATAAGGCAAAAAAAACTATTTAATCTAAGGCAAATATACTTATAGGTTTCCCCTATTCATCTAAGGCAAATATACTGATAGGTTTCCCCTATTCATCTAAGGCAAATATACTAATAGGTTTCCCCTATTCATCTAAGGCAAATATACTGATAGGTTTCCCCTATTCATCTAAGGCAAATATACTAATAGGTTTCCCCTATTCATCTAAGGCAAATATACTGATAGGTTTCCACTTTTATCTGTGTCTAGTGTTAGCTAATTACTATCTATCTAGGTCTTCAGCCAGCAGGGAACATAATTACTATCTAGCTAGGTCTTCAGCCAGCAGGGAACATAATTACTATCTAGCTAGGTCTTTAGCCAGCATGGAACATAATTACTATCTAGCTAGGTCTTCAGCCAGCAGGGAACATAATTACTATCTAGCTAGGTCTTCAGCCAGCAGGGAACATAATTACTATCTATCTAGGTCTTCAGCCAGCAGGGAACATAATTACTATCTAGCTAGGTCTTCAGCCAGCAGGGAACATAATTACTATCTAGCTAGGTCTTCAGCCAGCAGGGAACATTATAACTATCTAGCTAGGTCTTCAGCCAGCAGGGAACATAATTACTATCTAGCTAGGTCTTCAGCCAGCAGGGAACATAATTACTATCTAGCTAGGTCTTCAGCCAGCAGGGAACATAATTACTATCTAGCTAGGTCTTCAGCCAGCAGGGAATATAATTACTATCTAGCTAGGTCTTCAGCCAGCAGGGAACATAATTACTATCTAGCTAGGTCTTCAGCCAGCAGGGAACATAATTACTATCTAGCTAGGTCTTCAGCCAGCAGGGAACATAATTACTATCTAGCTAGGTCTTCAGCCAGCAGGGAACATAATTACTATCTAGCTAGGTCTTCAGCCAGCATGGAACATAATTACTATCTAGCTAGGTCTTCAGCCAGCAGGGAACATTATAACTATCTAGCTAGGTCTTCAGCCAGCAGGGAACATAATTACTATCTAGCTAGGTCTTCAGCCAGCAGGGAACATTATAACTATCTATCTAGGTCTTCAGCCAGCATGGAACATAATTACTATCTAGCTAGGTCTTCAGCCAGCAGGGAACATAATTACTATCTAGCTAGGTCTTCAGCCAGCATGGAACATAATTACTATCTAGCTAGGTCTTCAGCCAGCATGGAACATAATTACTATCTAGCTAGGTCTTCAGCCAGCAGGGAACATAACAACTATCTATCTAGGTCTTCAGCCAGCATGGAACATAATTACTATCTAGCTAGGTCTTCAGCCAGCATGGAACATAATTACTATCTAGCTAGGTCTTCAGCCAGCATGGAACATAATTACTATCTAGCTAGGTCTTCAGCCAGCATGGAACATAATTACTATCTAGCTAGGTCTTCAGCCAGCAGGGAACATAACAACTATCTATCTAGGTCTTCAGCCAGCATGGAACATAATTACTATCTAGCTAGGTCTTCAGCCAGCATGGAACATAATTACTATCTAGCTAGGTCTTCAGCCAGCAGGGAACCAAAGCGGGGGAAGGGTTGCCCAAAGCTCTGACAAGTTGTCATGTCATTACATCAAGAGACATGCCAAACGGGAGATTCATACAAACATCTTGACATCATTGATAGTCATGATACAGTATATGAACATTGTATACACACTGATTGTACAAAACATGAAGAACACCTTCCCTTTCCATGACATTGACTGATCAGGTGAATCCAGGTGAAAGCTTTGATCCCTTATTGATGCCACTTGTTAAATCCACTTCAACTCAATATTAGGAAGGCGTTCCTAATGGTTGGTCTACTCAGTGTATGTAATGTACTCAGACCTCACCCTGTAAAACTACAACTAAAATGGTCCAAGATGAACTAGCTAGCTTGATAAACAGCGCTGACAATTCCATTTGGGCTAGCTAGCTAAATTATATAGCCAACATGTTGACATATATTCATGCTGTTACAGTAACCAAACAGTTGGATAAACAAATAATTTGTGAAACCATGATGTGATGTATGACACAGGATTGGATGTTGCAATTTGAATGTTGTTTGAGTTGCTTTGTGTATCAGCAATGTTGCTTGAGATAATCTGACTGCAACACTGCTCACTGCGTCCATGTTGCTTGAGATAATCTGACTGCAACACTGCTCACTGCGTCCATGTTGCTTGAGAAATCTGACTGCAACACTGCTCACTGCGTCCATGTTGCTTGACATAATCTGACTGCAACACTGCTCACTGCGTCCATGTTGCTTGAGATAATCTGACTGCAACACTGCTCACTGCGTCCATGTTGCTTGAGATAATCTGACTGCAACACTGCTCACTGCGTCCATGTTGCTTGACATAGGCGTTTTCAAAGAACTGTCAGTCAAGGTAAGATCCCCGCCCACTCAGTCTACTAGCTCCCTGCCCACTCAGTCTGTCTTTTCAGACTTCCTGATAGTTTGACATGAAAGAAAAAGTAATTAATAAAGTAATTTCTCTCAGATTCTTTACATTTTAATGTTGAAAACTTTTGTGGGTGATGTTTTAGTCACTCAAAAGTTTATACATGTATGAAAAAATGTGTGCACTCACTAACTGTAAGTCACTCTGGATAAGAGCGTCTGCTAAATGACTAAAAATGTAAATGTAAATACATGGGAATCAGAATGACTGTTCGGGACCTTTAATACAGCGATGCTAAAGTCAATCCGACTTGCCTAACTGAAGTTCCCTCTGGGAAAATTAAAGAGATTCTGTTCTCTATTCTATTTTCTCTAGTCTATTCTAGAAAAAAAAACACAAAAAACACGATTCTACTCCCAATAAAAGACACTGAGGGCAGCTGCTCATCATTTACCTGTAGAAAACACTGAAGAAGCTGTACAGAAGACAGAAGACCAGGAACTCTTTATACAGCAGCTTGTAGATGCTTCCCCTCCACCTGAAGAGCAGCTTGGAAAACCCTCCAAACTTAGCAGTGGCCACTTCTAGGGTGTAGGAGATCGTCATTGTTGTGTTGTTGTGGAGTAAAGCACCTGTAAAATAGACAGGGAAATTGCAGTTGTACATTACATAGCTGCCAAAATGTCCCAAGTCTTGAAATATTGAACTTGATTTCAAACGTTAGATGATTTTTCTCATAGCATTTTTAAAGGCACGGGACCCTCTTACCTGTAAAGGCTGCTGAAGCACTTGTACTCCTGTATCCAGTCCCTCTGTCCTGAGAAAGAGACTGACTTCCCTCTCCTCTCATCTGAACCCTCTACTGTATTTCATCCTGTCAGAATCCATCATCATCATTACTATGTGAGATAGTGGATCCTGATCATCCTAAGATTTATAGGCTGGGAACCCTGTGTTAAAGAAGTTTCCTGCCGACAAACATGTCAAGTCAAGTTCACCTTTGGGCCCACATGTGAGGAAGTACAAACAAGTATTAAAGAACGACTGCCCCTAAAAAAGACAACTAATCCCTTTGAAAACGGCATGTGGCATCCACATGAGTCAGAAACATGTATTATAGTGTCAAAATTGACTACAAAGTGTCCATAATAAATAGGGTAGGGGAGGGAATGGCCGGCAGGGATGTAGCTCAGTTGGTAGAGCATGGCGTTTGCAACGCCAGGGTTGTGGGTTCGATTCCCACGGGGGGCCTGTATGTAAAAAATAATGTATGCACTCACTAACTGTAAGTCGCTCTGGATAAGAGTGTCTGCTAAATGACTTAAATGTAAATGTAATAGTTGAAGTGAAATAGAAAGGTGAACACAACGATCAGGTTGGTTCCACCATGCTAATCACAACCACCATTGATAATGTAATCAGTGCTCTGTTTGACCGACCAGTATCTTTGATGAGGGGCCAGGAGCTGATCTACGCTGCTATGACCATCAACGGGGCTCTGGCAATGACCTCGCCTCCAGCCTCCACCTCTTGCCTGATCACCAACGGTCGTCGATGGGGAGAACAGAATTAGGTCGTTTTAGTCTGACCTGTTGAAACGTTACCATGGTATCTGTTTGTGTGTCAGATATCACCTATCCTAACTGCCATTGGTAATAGAACAGTGACTGTGTGTGTATGTGTCCACATCAAACCACACCCCCAAGACAACTCTCATTTTCTTTCTGTCAGGGCCGTTAGCATTTCTTTAATGAGCATTGATGAAAAACGAGGCCAAATCAGGAAGTGCAGTTGACCTTTAAATTAATCTCCAAACCCTGCCGTGTGAAATAAACAAACATACACTGTGATTGACTGCATTGAGAAGATAACTCCACAGTACTCGGGGGCGGACTGGCCATAGGCCAGGTCGGACAATTGCCAGACGCGCTGGTCCATTTTTAGCAAAGTGGGCCTGTCTAGATTGGGGTTTTTGCACAAAATTATTTGACTAATCATCGGGCCTTGAGGAAGAAAAATGGGCATGTGTGGTGGCCTCAAGGAAATAATTGGGCCATGTGTTAGAAATGCCCGTGATGATTTCTGGTCCCAGTCCGTCCCCGACAGTACTGTTCAGAGGATGATAGGAAGACTGGTATCAGAGGAGGCTGGTGGGAGGAGCTATAGGAGGACGGGCTCGTTGTAACGGCTGGGATGGAACCAATGGAACGGTATCAAACACATGGAAACAAGGTGTTGGACTCCGTTCCATTGGTTCTATTCCAGCCATTATAACGTCCCTGTCCTCTTGTAGCTCCTCTCACCAGCCTCCTCTGACTGGTATAGCTCCACTCATCTCGTAAGACAACTAGGAGCTACCTAGCCTAGCCCCGGCCCAGATCCGTTGGTGCTGTATGGTCATTGGCATGCCATTGACCATGGGAGTCACTGACCACCTTCCGGAGACACTTGAAACCCCACCTCTTTAAGGAATACCTGGGATAGGATAAAGCAACCCTTCTACCCCCCCCCCCCCCCCCCCCCCCCCCCCCCCCCCCCTCCCCCACCCCCCATAAAAAAAAGAAGAAAAAAAGGTGGTTATCCCACTGGCTATCATAAGTTGAATGCACCAATTTGTAAGTCGCTCTGGATAAGAGCGTCTGCTAAATGACGTAAATGTAAATGTTAATGAGTTGGCAAGAGCCTGTTGCCTAGCTCTTGTCCAGGGTGTTAGAGCATTCCTCTACTAACGTGCACTAACGCCCTGGACCAGAGCTAGATGATGCACTAACGCCCTGGACCAGAGCTAGATGATGAACAACTGTCTTGTCCTCTTGGTCGTTGTTGCTGGTGTTCAGCTAACGTATCTGTTTTCTCATATGAATGTCGAGTTTCACCAATCAGTGGACTATAAATCACTCTCTTATCTCCAGGACTGTTTTATCCTCCTCTTCTGTTTGTCCTCTGTTCTCTCTCTCTCTTTCTCTCTCTCTCTCTTTCTCTCTCTCTCTCTCTCTCTCTCTCTCTCTCCTCTCTCTCTCTCTCTCTCTCTCTCCTGTCACGCCCTGGCTCGGGGGACTCTCATATGTTGAGCCAGGGTGTTAGTTTCTATGTTTTGTTGTGGGTTCTAGGTTATTGTATTTCTTTGTTTGAGTGACTCCCAATCAGAGGTAACGAGTGTCAGCTGTTGGCTCGTTGTCTCTGATTGGGAGCCATATTTAACTATCTGTCTTTCACGTTGTGTTTGTGGTTTCTTGTTCATTTCGGTTCGTGTTAAACCGTAGACGTCACGTTTTCGTTTGTGTTTTTGATCGTGTGATCATTTATAGTAATAAAATATGTTCACCTTCAACGCTGCGCATTGGTCCTCATTAGACGATCGTGACAGAAGAAACCACCAAGATGGGACCAAGCAGCGTGTTCAGGAGCCATCGCCAGGGAGATCCCTCACAGATCTCCTTCGCCTCCTGGACTGGGTCAAGCCGAGGGAGGAAGACAAGGGCTTGACATTATGGCAGAAGGGCGAGAAGCTGGCGAGGGATATGGAGACGTGGTCCACGGGTAGGAGAGACGCCCCGAAAATTTTTAGGGGGGGGCTCACGACGGCGGACCAGCAGGAGGCCGCGATAGAGCGGTCCAGTGGGTTGCCGGAGAAGGCCGCCGGGTTACGGGGGCCACTGGTAGAAGAGGGGATGGAAGGTGTGGAGGCACGGCGAGAGGTACTGGCGTGTGTTGCCAGTCCGGTCCGGCCCGTTCCAGATCCCGGTGTAGAGCCAGTGGTGTGTGTCCCCAGTACGGTCCGGTCTATTCCTGCTCCCCGCACCGAACCTGCGGTGCGCGTCGCCAGCCCAGTCCGGCCCATTCCTGCTCCCCGCATCAAGTCTGTGGTGCGTCTCGTCAGCCCGGCTCTGCCCGTTCCTGCTCCCCGCACCAGGTCGGGGGTGCGCGTCGCCAGCCCGGTCCGGGCCATTCCTGCTCCCCGCGTCAAGTCTGTGGTGCGTCTCGTCAGCCCGGCTCTGCCCGTTCCTGCTCTCCGCACCAGGTCTGTGGTGCGCGTCGCCAGCCCGGTCCGGCCCATTCCTGCTCCCAGCACCAAGTCTGTGGGGCGGTTCGTCAGCCCTGTCCGGCCCGCTCCTGCTCCCCACACCAAGCCAGTGGTGTGCGTCGTCAGTGCAGCACGGCCCATGCCTGTTCCCCACACCAAGCCAGTGGTGTGCGTCGTCGGTCCGGCACGGCACGTGCCTGTTCCACTGGAGCCGGATCCGCCGCCTAGGCGGAGTGCCCACCCGGTCCCTCCCCTGTTGTGTTTCGTTGGCGCGGTCGGAGTCCGCGCCTTTAGGGGGGGGTACTGTCACGCCCTGGCTCGGGGGACTCTCGTATGTTGAGCCAGGGTGTTAGTTTCTATGTTTTGTTGTGGGTTCTAGGTTATTGTATTTCTTTGTTTGAGTGACTCCCAATCAGAGGTAACGAGTGTCAGCTGTTGGCTCGTTGTCTCTGATTGGGAGCCATATTTAACTATCTGTCTTTCATGTTGTGTTTGTGGTTTCTTGTTCATTTCGGTTCGTGTTAAACCGTAGACGTCACGTTTTCGTTTGTGTTTTTGATCGTGTGATCATTTATAGTAATAAAATATGTTCACCTTCAACGCTGCGCATTGGTCCTCATTAGACGATCGTGACATCTCCTCTCTCTCGCTCTCTCGCTCTCCTCTCTTTCTCTCTCTCCTCTCGCTCTCTCGCTCTCTCTCTCGCTCTCTCTCTCTCCCTCTCTCTCTCCTCTCGCTCTCTCGCTCTCTCTCTCCTCTCTCTCCTCTCTCTCTCTCTCCTCTCTTTCTCTCTCTCTCTCTCTCTCTCTCCTGACTGACACCCAATTTATGGGTCCATCTGTCTCTCCAGAGGAACAACTCTGGCCTTCTCTTTCACTGTGTTCTTCTCTCTTCAACTGACAGCCAATTTAAAACTTATAGTATAAACTTGTGTTTGATCATGTTGACACTGCAGCATAAATTTGTCTGTTTTATCCCAGTTGAAAACCTTGTCTGTTATTCTGTCCTCTGGCATATTGATAAGGCGGTTCCATAACCTAATCAATTCACCACTCTGTCTTATTTCACAGGGCTCCTACCAGGAGCATGTCAGACTCGACTACCAACAGACCAACTGAAAAACATAATCAAAAGCTGACTGAATTCGAGACTTTCTCATTGACCTCCATACAAAACATCTCCACTTTGTCTGCTTCATGCTTTGACAGATTTTGGAGCGGAGTCAGCCCTCTTGCTTCTCCTCTTCCTCTTTGGTCTAGTTGGTGAAAGGAGTAGAAATACCAAAACGTACTATAAATGTCTATCTGCTGTATGTCCATCTACTGTATGTCCATCTGCTGTATGTCCATCTGCTGTATGTCCATCTGCTGTATGTCCATCTGCTGTATGTCCATCTGCTGTATGTCCATCTGCTGTATGTCCATCTGCTGTATGTCTATCTGCTGTATGTCTAGCTGTAGTATGTCTAGCTACTGTATGTCCATCTGCTGTATGTATATCTGCTGTATGTCCATCTGCTGTATGTATATCTGCAGTATGTCCATCTGATGTATGTCCATCTGATGTTTGTCCATCTGCTGTATGTCCATCTGCTGTATGTATATCTGCAGTCTGAGCCAGCGTCGCTTTATCCTCAAAAATTCACCACTTCTTCTATGTTCCAATTCTAACTGGTCCGTCCACGTGACCAATACTGTAGGCTAGCCTGTATTTTACTGCAAAATACTTGGAAATTATCTTGACCTTTTGCAAGTGCATGTTTCAATATACAACAAAAAGGTATATATTTAACAGAAATGTATGTAATTATTCAGTAGTTCAGTAGA